TTTGAAAAACTATCAATCTTTGCTAAAATTTAATATGTAATTTGATTTTCCTCTACCAGAATTGCTGTAATACTGTATTTTACTCAGCTTTGCCTGTATGTTTTTATATATATACATTTAACTTATATAAGCTAAAAACAAAGATATAGCTACTATGGCTTTACTTCACAAACGGAAAGACTTAAACCATAACAGTAAAAGAAATATACAAAATGAACATGGTACTGCAGAAAGAAAAAAGTGATAGATGATGGATGACAGGTAGATGTTACAGAGAACAGGAGGTTAAGAGAAAACATAAGGTAAAAGACAGGAACAGTGAAACAGCTGGAAAGTTTACAAGCGGGAATCGATTATTGCTTCTCCCAACAAATTAATAAACATGAGTGCTCCAGAAGCCACATGGGTCTTACAAGACTCAAATCTTGTAAGTTAAGTAGGTTGTGTGCAGTCAGACATACGGTGGCGGACTTCCAAAAAAACCCTGCAGAAAGCATGTGACTTGCTGAGTCAGTGTGGAGACAGCTCCCCAGAAAAGCGAGGGCACTGAGCTGCCGGCACAGCAATCCCTCCAATGAGACACACGCACCGTGAGCATCCAGCCACTAAGGGCAAATCCTGTTTCCGGGGCTGTCTGCTCCAAAACTGTCAGGTTAGCCCAGGGGGAGCAAAGACTTCCAGCCATGATAGGTGAACCTTGCCAAAGGAGACGGAGTCATTGTTGGCATCAGCTTTTCTTTGCCTCCTCTGCCTGCGGTCACTGTTGCTACAGCAAAAGAAGAGCACCTGACTGCACCTCGGCCACCCCAGCTTGAAGGCTGGTGTCTGGTCAAATTTATGCTCAGCCTATTTTAAGACAAAATGCCAGATTCCCATCCAGGCAGCTGTGCTCCTGCTTCCTTGTGCCACCAGCACTGAAGCTCTGCGTTAGCAGGCTCGGTGAAGTTTACAGGCACAGTGAAGTTTACCTTGTCACCATAGGAACTTTTCTGTTGGCAGCATTCAAATCTATCTAAATTCTGGCTGTGCATTCATTTTTGGCTGGCTCCAGAGTTTTTCTGTGACCCGGTAAAGGCAGAACCCTGAGGTACGGCCCACCAGGCTATGCTGTCTGCATACTTTGAGTATGCAGACGGACATGTCTGCAGTCCTCCAGTCTGGCATCACTCGTCATTAAAAACACAGAATTTCACCAGAGGTTCCATAACTCAAAGACTAGGGCCTCTGCCTGAGCTAGACAGTCTCTGATGTGAATGTACAACACGTTCAGTTAAAGACACTGAGAAAAGGGAACAAAAGCACTGAATTCCTGAGCAAGCAGTGCTAACAGTTAAATTGCTTCTTACTGTGAAATATATGCCTTATTTCTGCTATGCCTGGTCTCTGCTCCTACTGCTTAGAACACTAAAACAAAGAACACAGAAAGGCAGAGAAGAGCTGTGGGGTTCATTCCAACCCCTTCCAGCAAACTCCTGTCTGTGGCGTAGGTGCAGGAAAAACACAGACCCTCCCACCTGAGGCCTGCATCCACCCCTTCCCAGGGCACCTTGCTGCCTCCTCCTGGACTGAGGGTCTCCTATTAAGAAGCCTGTGGCTGGCAGGACCAGTGCTTTGTCTGCTGCAGGGGCGGAGAGGTGTCTAATGAGCAAGGAGGAAGGATCCTGGCCAGAGAGGTATGTCTCCAGGCTCCTGCACTAGGGTGAGTGCTGCTCCTTGCTCTCACGTAGGTGATAAACAAGTCCTCCTGCCAGGCTCTTCTCAAGCACCCTCTGTGTTTTCGATGCTCTCCCGCTGCCCTGCAGGAAGCGCTGAAGGCTTATTTGGAGAAGTGTTGGGCACACGCGGCCCAGAGCGAGTACAGGAAGGTATCCATTTAATAAACAATTCTCAATGCACAAAATACAAGTTTATAGAACTGAAAGCTCATTATAATGCACTGTGAGCATGCTAGAGTGAAATGCCTTGACTCTCTGCCCATACATTGGGAGTTAGAACAGAAAATAAATCGCTAATTGTTTGCACAGTACTCAGACACTGGAGTGTTCCTTAGAAAAGACTGTGACAACATTAGCATTTCCATCTTTACAGCAGTCTGAATAGCAGGCAGGAAATCAGGCATGAAACTGCAAACTGAGCAGTGGAAAATCATACATTCCCTGAGCCCCATCCGGCTGCGAGATGGTGGGGGACAACGGGAATAATATGTCATGCCATCCGCTGAAGGTGGCTTGAGAGTCAAAAACAAAGCAGCCTCGGCAGTTCTAATTCCTGCAGCTTCTAATGTTAAGCACGTAAACTTGGTGAAGTTCCTGTGGTGTAATTTACCCTACACAGAAAATAAATTTACGGTGACATTCTTGTTTCTCTACACAAAAATTCTTCTGTAAGAAGTCTAGAGGTGACCTGGTACAGCCCAGTGTGACGTAGCAGTTACGTATACTGGTTTGGGGCTGGTTTGTTCAAGAAGTACAAACAACACGTCAGGATACTCCTCGCTCATTGCACACAGCTTGGAGCAGGGCCAGTTAATACTCTCACAACTATCCCAGGAACAGAACCACTCTGGAGCAATTATTCCTCTTCCAGTAATGACAGGGTGCTGCCTGCATAACTTGTACATGCTTTCAGTGATCATCTGTCATTTTTCATTGTTGAATGGGTGGAGAATTTCCTAGCAAACAAAAGCACAGTTTGTTCCCAGCTTCAAAGGAAAAATATGAATTTTGAGGTAACTACTTCACATTATTTTATTAAGATTTTTGCAGCTGTAGAGACTGATATCAATCAGTAGTTGGCTTCCATTATTCTTTAAAAGTTGGCACACGACTGGAAAAAAGAAAAAAAAGACAACAGAAAAGAAATAGTATATTGACAACGGAACATGCTATTGTCTTTGGGTGTTCTAATTTCAACAACCATCTGATGACTTCCCCTATTTTTTCCACTACTCTCAAACAATAGATACAGTCTTGGAATCCTTTTTGAAAATAACTCAGGAACTAATCAAGAGCAGTTTGGGCCTTTTACCTCTGACTCCTTCAGGCTCCCCAGTCTCGGTGGCAATCTGGGAAAGGGAGATCTTCTAAAACCTGTTGTTAAGCCTGGCCACATCTTCATACTGTTCTTCAAAATTGTTAGTGAAGTTAGTGCTTGGAGATGAAGGTGGTGAGATTAATTTTTATTACTGGAGCTACTGCCTGTAACTTGGATTTTGATAGTGCACAAAAAACACACTGAACAAACAACAGACTATACAGAGCTGAATGTCTTGGCTAAGGTACCACCATAAAGAATGAATGTTCATCCACTGCAGTCTGACAAATGCTACCACCTTGACAGTAGAATGTCGCAAAATATCATGACAAGGGATGAAGTAATTCAGAAAACAGCAAGTAACAAGCTCTCTCTCTGGAGGTAAGAATAGTGTCTCTGCAAAGAGAAGGGCATTTGATGCCAAAAGAAAAGAAAATATTGCCTTTCTGTTGTCAGACCAATGGCCGGCAGAACTGCACCACTAGGAGAGCAGTGTATGGCATGACTGCTATCCCCATGCTAGAAAGGCACTACCATGGTCTCGGTGCTCCAAAGTGAGTATGGGGCTTCACTGCAAGGGGCTCACTGTGGGACAAAACACTACGTCCCCTTCTGAGGTTTAAGTATTGTAAATCTTCCACTGCACTTCTGTGAAAATTCACTTTTGGCTACACAGAAAATTAAACAGTACAAAAGCAGTAATCATCTGTCATTATTAAACCAGAACTTCTTCCCTGCTCAGAAGGCACTAGCACAGGATTTTTGAGAATGTATACCCCAAGCCCCAAATTGCACTTCATAACTGTTTAGTGATCCGTAGTTGCATGACTCAGTAGCCAGTGGTTCAGATGTCCACAAAAGAAAGCAGTAGGCCTGGGTGATAGATTTAGAAAGAGCAGCTGGAGAAGGGCTGTTACCTCTGCACTAAGCACTGTTGCAGTGGCTGCTACTTTGCTGCACACTCCACGGTGCTCACTGAAGATGCTGACAACAGGAGAAAATCAAGAAACTTATCAGAGAATCGCAGAATATCTTGAGTTGGAAGGGATCCACATGGATCATCGAGCTCAACTCCTGACTCTACACAACGCCAACCAAAACCCAAAACCAATCTCTGAGAGCACTGTCTAAACACTTCCTGAACTCCAGCAGCTTGAGGCTGTGCCCATTACCCTGGGGAGCCAGTTCCATGCTCACTGCTCTCTGGTGAAGGACCTTTTCCTAACCTCCACCTGACCCTCCACTGGTGCAGCTCCATGATGTTCCCTCAGGTCCTGTCACTGTCACCAGAGAGCAGAGATCAGTGCTGCCCTCTGCTCCCCTCGTGAGGAAGATATGAGGACAGGAAAACAGAGCAAAAATCTCCGTTTAGCGTGAGTGTATGGGTAGTTCAAATGATGAAACAGCCAGAAGAAAAGGAATCACTCTTCCTTCTCAATCCCATTTCTTCCTTCTCCTCCTCTCCCCTGTTCCATATGCACCCTCCCTTCCCTTGCTCTAGCTGATGCTGGTGAAATCCTGCTTAGCTCACCGGCCCAGCAGAAGAACATTCCTGTTTTTTGGTGGATTTGAGTTGTGCTGGAGCAGAGTTGAGGTGTCCCACAGAAGAGCCTGAGCACTGCCAGGACTGGCTGAGGAGCAGCCGGCAGCTGCAGGGCAGGAGGAAGGCTCTGCAATGAACACACCACGAAGGAAAACAGAAACCGAAATTAAAAAATAAAAAAAATTGAAAAGCAACAACAACAAGAAAAAACAACCGTTAACTGATACAATGCAGCAAAATGAACTTTATTAAAGGAAAAGAAATATGAAAAAAAAGGCAAATGTTTCAGGAGCGAGGCGTGCGTGCCTTTGCGGGCTGGATCTCCTCCTCAAGGAGTCAGGCCAACCGCAGCCATACGCTCCCCTCACTCCGCATCCCGTTGCCTCCGCCTTCCAACGCCACGACCTAAAACTCTCAGAGCTCTCAGCCCCCTCAGCCCCGGCGGTTCCGCCTCCCCGGCCGGCAGCTCCCCCGCCCTCGGAGCATGCGCAGAGCCTGGCCAGCTCCGCCGCCGCCCCCGCTCCCCTCATAGCGGCGCCGCCGGGAGTTGAGCGAGCCGCCGCCGTTCTTCTGTGCGCTGACCCTTTCCTCGACGGCCGAGCCGGAGGTACGAGATGAGATGGTCTCTTTTCCTTTCGGCGGCTTCCCGCTCTCCTTTGCGGGCCCGAGCGGCGCCCCTTCCCCGGCGGTGTGTGAGGAGGGGGTGGGGAGCTGGGAGCGCGGTGCTGGGCACGGCGGGGCGGGGGGAGTGCGGAGAGACCGCGGTGGGACGGGCGGGAGGAGAAGCTGCGGGGCCGGCCGGCCTTGTCGGCAGAGGAATGGTTTCACCGTTTCGCTGGTGGAAACGGTGTGTGTCCTCCGCTCCCGCGGCGCCCCGAGCAGCAGCCATTTCGTGGGGCTGCGGCGTGCCCGCCGCTGGGAGCCCCTCCCGAGGGCTCCTTCGGCCGCCGTGACCGAGCGGAGAAACGAACGCTGTGTGCTTTGGCATCCGTTCTCTGCCTTGGGTTCGGGATTTTGGGGTGCTGCTCTTTCCCGTTCAGACCGCGGGTCCCTTGCTTGCTTCCCAGTCAGCACCCTTGTGCCTCTGCCAGGGGGCTGGGCGTTCGTACCGCCTTCTGTTTGGATCCGGAGGTGGAACGGATGTGTTGTGCCTTTGTGGGTGAGCGAGCCCTTCCTCAGGTCTGAAATGGAGGCGGCACCTTCCCGAGTTTTCCTCTGCAAGGAGGGCAACGCTTGGAGGCCAATTAGGCGGTATCAGCAGGAAAACACCGAGTGATTAGTGGAGGTCACAGCTTGCGAAACAGCTGCTGCCTTTCTGCTGTCTCAACCTGACCTTCGGGAAGTCACTCCTAAGTTTGGAGAGGGAACTTAACCTCACAGCTTTTGAGCTGTTCTGAAAGCCAGAGTTGCTACTGTAGTGCTGGTTTTGTGGCTTGCTGTAATCTCCGCATGAGCTGCAGGCACAAATCACCTTTACTCAGCCCACTCCAGCCCCTAGTACTGTCTGCTGCCAATTTCAGACACAGTGATAGCCACAGATCAGACATCAGCTAGTTCTCAGGCTGTGTTCAGCTGTGTGGTTTTCAACCCAACAAATGTGTTGGGCTGACCATCTTTCTTCAGCCAAGCCTGCATGTCACCAGACTGCACCTACTTACGGGACTCCCTGCACAGAGCCTGAGGATGTCATGAGTACTGCCTGCCTGTTGGTTGGGCACTGCCCTTGGTCAATAGGATCTGCTTATCCAGGCAGCCTGCTGAAGGCCCTTCTGGCCTGAGGATACTTGGAAACAGGGTTTTCTTTCCTTTTTGCTTTGTGCTTTTCATGAAAGCCTCAGGTTACTGTATGCATTCTTCGTGTGATGTAGGAACCTGTAAACAACTGGAAAATGGTTCTGCTGCCAGCGTAGGTTCCTGAGGGAGGACAGGAGGTGAGCAGCTCCGTTGTGTGGTAACTGCTCCCCAGCTCCCGTCTGAAGCTGTTCCAGCGGCTGTCCAGACTTTGTGTTCGGACTTGTTATTGCTGTGAGTCACGGATGGATTCTTCCTCAGTTTCCTGGCGGTCTCTGATGATGATGGTAGCTGCTAAATGGTTGTGTTTTGAACTGAATACGGTACTTTGGGGCATCTTGCGTTGCCTAATGAGACGTTAGGTGCATATTTAAGTGTTAGAACTGTCTGTGTGGAAATTGAAAACGCTCCTTTTTATGTAAGAGCAGTGAAGCTGGTATGTAAGGAGATGAGAATGCAGTCAGTGGTGACCGTTATTCCAGTTATTTATTGGAAAACCAAAAATAGCATCCAGTGAGATTTTGAGGAGGAAGCTGGCAGGGCAACTCTTTGGGAGCTGTGACACACCCTTGGGTTTGCAAGCTTCCAGCTGGGAAGGGAGGTGGCCTTGATGGTGATGAAGCAGCAGGTTAAGCTGCTGGAGGGATTTCTTTGGTGACTGGGGTACCAATACATTTAGCACTGCTGCTCCTTTGAGTGTTACTGGTGATCACCATGCAGGGGGAGATTGGACTGTGGGGCTGGCCCAGCTGGAAGCATGATGCCATGAAATGGTCACCAGAACCAAAGACCCTGCAGATGCTACAATGAGCTCTGCCTGGGTGCCATTTGTGCTGCTGTGAATGTGATGCTCTGTGTAGCTTTACTGGGGATATAACTCTAAGATGACAGAGGGATATTTCAGTTAGTTGTTAGGAAAGAATTTTTTCTCTCAGAGAGTGGTGAGGTGCTGGTACAGCTGCCTGGAGAAGCTGAGAAGCTGTGGTGCCCCATCCCTGGAGACACTCAAGGTCAGGTGGGATAGGGCCCTGAACAACCTTGCCTGGTGAGGGGCAGCCCTGCCCACCACAGGGGGATAGAACTGGATGATCTTTAATATCCTTTCCAATCTAAGTCATTCTATGCTTTTAGCAGCAGAACGAGGTGGCTAGGGACTGCTTACCTGAGCAGGCGTTCTGCCAGGCTTTGGCTTGCATTTGCTGTTATCCATTTTGATTGAAGAAAAGCATTTGCATTGATGGCATTCAGGTCAGTGCTGCCTTAAAATGGAATCTTAAACTGGTGTTAAATGTGTCTGTTTAATTTTTAACGTTTCTGGGTCTCAGTTATATTTTGTTTGCTTGCAATGACCTGACAAAAAATATCAGTTGCAAATAACAATGAACGCGTGGCCAGTTCTGTTGGGGTAGTTTAGATCTTTGTCACACTTTGGGCTCCCTTTGGAAGTGTTAATTGTAGTGTGACATGATACTTGAGCTGCTGGGCGCTCTGCTGAACAAGTAGAAAAGCTGTTGATGACATTAATGTTATGTGAAGAGACATCTATTGTGTTACTGCAGCATGATATTGAGCATTAGCTTTTTTAATTTTAATCAACTTAGTATCTGCATGTAAAGAAGCAGCAGCTCAAGGATTTATGTAGTGGTCACTTTCAGTCTTGCACAATTTAGGACCTCTAATTTATCTTTGGATGAGAGAATTAATCTTCCAACCAGAAGCTTTTCATAGTGCCTCTGTTAACTGCATTAATGTTTTTTGTGCCACGTCTTAACTTTTAAAACTTCATTGTGTTCTTATTTTCTGTTTCTGTCCTTTCTTTTGCTCAGTTAAAATGTTCACTTATTCTGGGGTGAAATGTCTTAACTATTCTTTTGTGAAGTTCTGTTTGTGAGAATTGAGCAAAGGATCTCTCAAAAGTGGAATTTCTCTAAAGCTTCTGTGGCTCAGATCTAGCAGAACTGCGTGCCTTCCAGGATCACGTGAAGTGTTTTTATTTCATTGCTTCCTGTTACGTTGTCACAGGGCTCTCTCCTCATCACATGAGGGAGGCAGGCTGTGGATTTCAAAACCCACCACTGTCTAGGTCTGGCTGGTTTGTGGTCTGTTGCTTCTCTTTCTTACATTTAATATGGTACAAATGGACACAGGAAGCCAGTTCTCTAGATAGGAGTGTTAGAAAAGATGAAAGCCTTTGGATAGTGTGAAAACTTCTGAAAGTTTTCCTCGGTTGTATGTGAATTACTGTCCTACTTGGAAGGTGGAACATAATTAGGTTTCCAACTTAATCCTCATCATTGTTGCAGTACTTCCTGTGAAGCTGTTCTCTGTGCAGGCTTTCTCTTAGCTGCGACCTAAACTTTAACAACACTAAGTAGAGTAAGCAAAGCCTATTATACACAGGCTATTAGTGATAATAGATTAAATGGTTAGTCTTAATGAAATTTGTCTTCAGTGCTTTGTATCTGTAGAGCTAAGATTTACAGGTCACAACTTGCTTATTTAGTGCTTTGTCTGCTTTCTCTTTCATTTCAGTTTTATGCTATAATGCTAGGCAAATACCCAGTGGCTAACCCTTTCTTTGTCTTTCTCCAACTCAGTGAAGCTGCATCAACATGTCTCTCTATCCTTCCCTGGAAGATCTGAAGGTGGACAAAGTTATTCAGGTATGGCAGGCTTTCATAAAGGTGGTTTTGGTAACAGTAATGGTCCTGTTGATATTTAAGGCAGGGAGGAGAGGACTACTAGATTTCATATTTTACAGTCTCTGAAAAGGAAAAGAAAAGGTAAAGTGTCTCAGTCTCACCTGTGTTTCTCTGTGGGGTGAAGGACCTTTTGGAACTATGGGAGCAGTGTTGGTATTTCTTTGTTCTACTCCATGTGCCCTGCATTATTCTGAGGTGAAGGTACAGTCATTTGACAGCGAACTTTGATTTAAAAACGAAACCCAATCCTGCCTGGAGCTGATTATGTGCTCCTTCAGCCTTCTGAAAACCAGCTGCCAGTGTTTGTGCTATAACTAAAAACTCTCTACTACTTAACTTTTGTGACCACGGAGGTAATGGAAGTAGAGTATCTCTGTACTGAGTACCGAAAGATTCACCATGTCCTCTGCAAATCAGTATGCTTAAAATGAAAACTGTTTGGGAGTGGGAGGGGAGGGGGGTATTTTGAAAAACAAAACAAAAACCTGTTCTTACTGTACAGTGTTTGAGTTGGAGACTTTTCTTCTAAGTCTTTTGATATTGGTAAATAATGAGTCACTTTTGCTCTGAAACTTCTTAAATGTTACTTCCTGGAGAGAATAGGACTATGAAATCTTCTATTTTTAAAGCCTTATTTCCTTTAAAAAAAAAAATCAGTAATTCAGTCTTCATGTTGAATTTGGTGATTTATGTGTCCTGTTTGGCATTGTATTTCACTATTTTGAAACTTAACCACACCTTTAACTTTTAAGACCAGTAGCAATGTTAAGGTGGCTGTTTCTGTTCTGTGTAATAGTAGGTCTCTGTCAGGTAAAGAGTCAAAAACATTGTGGATGCTCAAGGCTAAAAGAGAAGCAGCTCAGATACTGTGAGAAGAAAGGGAATTGGCTTACTTTGAAACAGTCTCTTCTATTTGTAAGCCAATAAGCAATATGGAAACTAAACTTAGCACATTCATGTGAAGTTGTGCATTTGGGAACTCTTGTAAGAGAAATAATTTTGGTAAGTACTTGTCTTTCAGAAGGTATGGAAGTAGTAGCTCTGAATTGTATGGAGCTTCACTTGCAAGCTGCAAATGGTTGTGGCATGAATAATAATTCCAAATGGTGAAAAGGTAGAACTCCTGGTATCTACTGGGGAAAAAAAAAAAAAACTACTGTACTTTCATACAGTACTGGATGTGCTTTAAACTTTAAGTTTTAAGCTTTGGCAGCCAAGCTTATGCATTTTTTCAAGATCACAGGCTTTTTAACTTGCCTAATGACAAAACTGGAACTGAGGCTGATGGTGAAGCCTTCCTGTGTTATTAGAGTAGCTCTGTCTCTCAGGAAGGTTCGAGTTCTTGTTGAAGTAGTATGATAACACTGCTGCATATTGTGTTAAATACTTCAAAGAACATGATTGCCTTCAGTGCTTGAAGTTGAATGACAATTAGCATATAAAAAAGAAAATACTTGGTCCACTGGCTGTGTAAGGAACATCTCTTATACGAGAAAGATTCATGTTAACTTGAGTTTCCTTCCTTGTAGGCTCAGACTGCCTTCTCTTCAAATCCAGCTAATCCAGCAATTTTGTCTGAAGCTTCTGCTCCTATTCCTCACGATGGAGGTAAGGTCATGCTTTGCATAGTATGCTAATGTTGTTGGTACCCTTTGAGCTCTCCTTAACTCTCACCTCATCCACTTGCATATACGCACTTACTATGTGTGTTTGTAAACTTCAGACTGCAGCATGAATCTGAGCATCTTCCCTCTGGAGCATATCGGCTTGCTTGGAAATGAGCAAGCACAGAGCTGTTAATAGAGAAGTGTCCAGGAAAATGGAACTTTAATGTTATCATGCTTTTCACAGCTTTTGGGGTAAAAATGTATGTTGGAAAATGCAGTGGACCTAAAGCTGTCTGTCTCATTTCTCCTTTTTATTCCCATGCTGATGTGCACCCACAAAGATGCACAGATATGCCTGAAAATCTGTAACTAGCGTGACCAGCTGCCGTGCTGGAGTCAAGGATGCTGATAGTGCGGGTACTAAGGCTTGGTGGATGTACCTTTGTCTCCAGCTGTGCTCTTGGACCTCAGTGATTTTAAAGGCTGGAATTTGTTTAGCTCATCAGAGACCAACCTTAGATCTGAGAAAGTGAATCAGACCAGAAGGAACTGAAGATCTTACTTGACCTAGCATCATCAGATCAAATGCAAGTTTGCTTTGTTGGTCCCTTTTTAGTAGCATTCTTTCTGCTGCCTGGAGTTTGTGTTCTCTTGCAACTTTAGTGCCTTTCATATTGCTGATCAAATGACTTATTTTGACATCAGCTTGTCTGCAAATTCCTCAGATGTTGTCTATGGCTGAGAAATGTTTAATTGCTTATTAGATCACCATTCTATTGGGGCATATTGACAATTTCTAGGACATGCCAAGCCCAAAGGGATTTCCTCAGTCCTGTTGGAGGCAGAATGTATGTTATCCTTATTGAGAGATGCTGGATGTTTTGTGCTGTTTGGAGTACTCTCTTACTTTGAGTTGGAATGTAATACAGCCAGCAAGATGCATTCTGCAGTGTTATCTTTTGATGAAGAACAAAAGACAAAAATAAGGTGTTGCCAAAATCACGTACAGCTTTCATTCCTAAGGGCTTGAAATGCAAGCAGAAGGCAGCCACAGAAAAAAGTCATTGAAGAGTTGCTGACTGGTATCAATAAACCAATTTTGAAATAATTGTTTTTTCTTATGTGAAACAGATTGTGAACTTGTTCCTAAATACTTTCAGTTGTCAGAAGTATCTTGGTTAGATAAGAATATCTTGTAATGGCCTTTGAGTTCTTTCACAGGAAAGGTAGCTGTCAGTCTCTGGTCAAATGTGGATTCTTAAAGTAGTTTTACATTATAAATGAACACTAGAAACCTAATTGATGTGTATCAATGAGCCTGCTTGCTTTCATAGTTGCCCCTTGTAGCATTTTGCCCTCCTAGAAGCCTTTTTCTATCACCACTCTTGTCTGAAGGCCAGGTAGATTTGTAAGAATTCTTCTAATTGCTGCTTGTCAAATGGCACCATTTAATCATCTGTGAAACATGAGCGACATCAAGCTTTCTTCTGGAGTAGTTTGACTCAAGATCTGACAAATCTGTGCAACTTTCTTTTTTCCCCATTCCCTGCCACCTGCTTCTCTCAGAAGAGGATTGTCCTGCTGGATGTGTCAAGGGCTGTAGTTCTTTCTCTGTTGGTATGAGCAGCGTGACTAAAAAGGCTTCCACTTGGAACTGTGAGAGAATGGCAGCAACTTGCTCATGAAGAACATAATATTCAATTTTACTCTGTGTGTGACTTTTCTGGGGAGAACTTCTCGAGACAAATGCCTGTTGGTTTCATGAGTATCTCTTGTGCTGTTCACTTCTGTCTTCCATTCTCAAATAAAATACGTTAGGATATCACAAGATATCAGTTAACGTGCATATGAATAGTATGCTGTTCTGTTTAAGTGACCTTACATTAATTTCATGTTTCTCTTCACATAGGCTTGTACCCCAGACTATATCCAGAACTTTCTCAGTACATGGGTCTGAGTCTCAATGAAGAGGAGGTGCAGAGAAACTTGCCAGTTGCTCAGCCACAAGGTGTAGGTACCAGTCAATGATGTTTCAGAAACCACAAGTATAAAGACTAAATGTTTATCTGGGATTCTAGGTAGTAGACTATTATTTGTGTTAAGTACTACAGTTAACTGATAAATACTATTTTTTCTTAAAAAGTCACTTTTTCCTCCACTTATAAACTAAGCTATTTCCATTTTGAAGGGAGGAAGAAAAGAGCTGGTGTTGTGATTTAATTATTTTTAATCACTGGACATAAACTGAGTTGTCTGGCTATTTTGTTTTAATCAGCAACTGGTAACGCGACCTCCTGCTAATTATATGGTAGCTCCAGTGACTGGAAATGATATTGGAATTCGCAGAGCAGAAATTAAGCAAGGCATCCGTGAAACAATTTTGTGTAAAGATCAAGATGGAAAAATTGGACTTCGCCTTAAGTCTGTTGACAATGTAAGTATAGCAGCTTGCTTTTCCATGAGAAATCCTACTGGATTAAATAGGTAGTTAAACTAGTGTGTGTCTGTACATATACACACATATTATATATATATATATATATACACGTATATATGTGTGTGTGTGTATTTTTGGACAGAAAGTAGTCTCGTGCATAATGCTCAGTTATCTGCAATCAGAATTTGAAAGTCCTCCATTAGCTCAAACTAGAGCATAGACCAGGGTCTAAATTCATAGCAGCAATATGTTTTCATGTTTTACGACACCTGAAGAATATCTGTAATTTTCTTTTTCACTTTGGAGAGTAGAGGTGGGTACTTAGCAGTTCAAGACTTACCTTTGTAGAAACTGTGGGAGGTATGTAAGTTCAGCAGTAGGTGGAGTAATGCATGTGGCTTAAATATAGATTCTTCTAATAGATTTTTAGAGATGTTAATAGAGTTCTTTACTATGCTATCTGTGAGGGAATTTAGGATAGCAAGAGTGTCATTTTACTTGTATGCAAGGAATAATTTCAGAGTAGGTCTCTTCTAGTTTTCCTTAACATGAGTATACTACCAGAAGATACAGGGGATTCCTAAGTCTGCTCTGAAGTTCCCCTCCTTTGGTATTGCTCAATTCTCAATGTGGAAAGCAGTACTATTTTGTTGACTTCGCTTTTTTCTTTTGTCCAGATTGAGTAATTTGAATGTACAAAAAAAACATTGTATTTGGGGCTTCAAATAGGGTTAAATTGATTCTGCATTTCTCCGAACCCAGAAATGCTGGAGGTTTCCTAGAGAGTACTATGACTTCTTTCTACTGCCTGTCCTGTCGCACCAAGAGGCACTACCTTCTGTACTGACCTGCTCTATCTGAGTTTTGGGGTGGGGTACTTTGACTAGGAATTAGTGGTATTAGGTTTGTTGTTCTAATGCTGCTTTTGTTGTTTGTTTTTACCTTTTGTAACAGTCTAGCAATTCATAATTGGTAGAAAGTTGAAAACTAATGAGGCTGAGTAAGAGGGAAAACTATGTGGAGCTCCTAGCACTGCTGATCCATCTCTCAAGCTACACATAGACTGTCTCGCACAGGAATTCCTAGTCAAATATGCAGGAAGATAAGCAAATTTAGTAATAGTCTGTATAAGGAGTTGCTCAGACTTTTTTTTTTTGCTTCCACCCTGCCCCTTTCTTTTGCAGGGAATATTTGTCCAGTTAGTACAAGCAAACTCTCCAGCGTCTCTAGCTGGCCTGCGGTTTGGAGACCAAGTTCTGCAGATCAATGGTGAAAACTGTGCAGGATGGAGTTCTGATAAAGCACATAAAGTTCTGAAACAGGCTTCTGGGGAGAGGATTACAATGATCATTCGGGACAGGTAATGCTAACTGCAAATACTCCAAGATGGGTGACAACCATTTCTAATTCTAATTCTGTGAGGTTTGGGTTTCCCTTCACTTGAAAAGCATTGCAGGCATAGTACACAGACAAACAGGTTGCAGGCTTTCTTCATATAGATCTGTAGAAATGTTCTCTCTTATGGCAAATAGTACAGATAGTAATAGCAACTAACTTGCAAACTTCCATTGCACCCCTCATCTTGGTGTGATGAGACCTGATGTCTTTAAGGTAAACTGATGAGCGCTAGCACAAGTTTAAATTCTGAATTCACAATTTCTCTGCTGCTTTGACGCAGCTTGACTTGTGCTTATACCAGTTGAAGAAGCAATAGTAGGTAGTGTTGAAATACTCATTGTATTCATGTGTTTAAAACTTTCATTTGCGTTTTTATTTAGCATCATAGTTTCCTTCTGAACTTCATTATTTACCTATGAATTTGTGACTTGTTTATTACAAGTATGTTTGGTAAAGCAATACGGGTTTTAAAATTGGAATTGGATACGTAGTCATAATGGGAAAGATTCAGCATGAAGTACATAGGTTGAGAAGATGTATCATACGCAGTGAGACTAAGTAGGCCTTCAGAAGCTTTCTCAGTGTTACATTTTTAAGAATGAAGATTGACCTCAGTGGCAGCATAAGACTTCTATTGTGTTAAACTAAAATACAGTGATAGTATATTTCTCTGCTGCATTATGCTTCTGTGCCTGACTTCCTACCCTACTCCTGGATTAAAGTGGTCTACAGTATGTCAGCTACCTGGTAATGCTTGTATGCTTGAATGGCTGTTTGTGTGGTTGGTTGTTTTAGTGTGTGTGGTTCATTTTTAATTTAGAGGGGGGAATATCTATAGAAAAGGGAAAACATACCAGGTTTAGAAAGAGGCTTGCATGTGAAATGTGACTTTGCTGGGGAAAAAAGAGATTAAAATAGCAACTATTCACAAAATGAAGCTAAACCCTATTGCTTTTCATTGTATTCTAAGGAGCCATACTTCAGTTATATGAACTTCTGGTGAGTTGCAGGAACTGAAATTACATGTTGTTCTTACTGTGGTTTAGCAAACTGAAAATGTGTTTTTGCATTTTACAATTCCTTTATTTCCTACAGGCCTTTTGAGCGTATTATTACTATGCATAAGGACAGCACAGGCCATGTTGGTTTCATATTCAAGAACGGAAAAATAACCTCAATAGTGAAAGACAGCTCTGCTGCAAGAAATGGACTTCTTACTGAGCACAACATCTGTGAAATTAATGGCCAGAATGTAATTGGATTGAAGGTAAGATAAATACTGCACAGTTGATCTAGGGGACACGTTCTGCTATGCAGTAAGTGTATTTTGCAGAGGGAAAATGATATATTTTTGAATGTTTATAAAACCTCCAATAATGGAGGTAACTTGATCTGTAACATGATGGGAAACACCTGTTTTAAGGCATCTTTGCTATTTACTATCTGTTAATGAGAAAACTCCTCTTCCTCTCTCCATCTACCTATTACACTTAGCCCTCTGTTGTTAATCTTTAACTTTACTGGCAAAACGTAAGGAATATTTCCTTTGTCAACCTGTGTCAAGTTGTAGTAGGATGCCTGTATCCCTTTTCCAGGCAATTCCTGTAAAGAGTAACTCCACAGATGCTTTTTGATTGGCACTATGGGTTAGTGATTAGCCCTGGAGGTTAAAATCCTGAAGTAAGGAGCCATGCATCTCTGAACATGTCTAGAAGGAGCTCCTGAACTCTGCTTTATTAGTCATCTTGAGTGATGTTGCTGATATGATTTCTTGTTCAATAACAGGACCCTCAGATTGCAGACATCTTGGCAACGGCTGGAAATGTAGTGACAATTACCATCATGCCTTCAAGTATTTATGAGTATATAATAAAGAGGTAGGTAGCAACCAAACAAAGCAGCCAGTGTTAATTATGCTCAAGTTGACAACTGCTAGCATTCGCAGGCTAAATAAAATATAACTTGGGCTTGCCATGAGAACAAGCTTGACAGAAAGACTGGTTAAGATGAGGAAGTCTGAAAACATGCATCATCTGATGACTTGCATCAGACTGGGGTGTTTTGGTTTTGTTTTCAAGCTGTTCCTATGGCAGTGGTGCTCCTTTGCTTTTTCTTTACTTCCAAAACCCTCTTCTTAGCCCAAAACCCTCTTCTTAGCCCAGTTCCACTAAGTGCTTTGAAGTACAAGTCTTTGTTACCTTATAACTAAAATACTGTTTCTAGTGGTGTGAGAGGCCAGTATTTTTAATTAAAGAGGTAGCAACAAAAAAGATGCAACAATCAGTTGACTTTCATATCTGTCTTGCACAACTGAGCACCTTCTCCTTTTCTTTAGGATGGCAACAAGCATCATGAAAAGCCTCATGGATCACTCTGTTCCTGAAGTCTAAACTTCCCTCATGCATGTGTGTGTACATGTATAACGAGAATTCCGCTCAACTTGGCCTATTATACTCAGTGATTTCTTTCTTCTGCACATGAGCCTTTCTGGAGGCCAGGAGAAGTTATGCTGTGTCAAGCACTTGCATCTGTCATGGCTGGGAATGTTACAGTTCAACATATCTCGTTTATTCGCAAACTGTAAAACTTGTAGCCTTATATGCTTGACAAGTGTGAAATTCCAATTATGTTAGGACTTCTTTTCATAGGTCTCTTCCTTAGTTTACTACTATGATAAGCCATGCAACTGAAGGAACCAGATGTAACATGCAAAGTTAAGTGTTGTTAACTAGGGCAATGCTGTGCTTTGTACATTTAAGAAAAAAAAAAAGTATTTTTACTGCTTTCTGTTTGCAAGAGTAGATTTGAGATAGCAAAGTAGAAGTATGGCTAGTAGTAGCTTATTTTTTGTTCTAGTAAATATGTTTACACAAGAATGCCAGCTAGGCTGAATATAGCTGAAGGCATCACTCGCTAAGTATAATGAAAAGTAGTGTACAGATAATCAAATCTTTTTATTACTTGTTATACAAATTGTAACTGATATGCTTATCTCTCGCCTTAACCAAGTTCTTAAGGATTCAGAAATAATGACAATAAACAACTGAAACTTTAGGTGGTGTGTGTGCTTAATGAGATCAGCTAAGATGGGCTTCATTCAATAAAGCTAGTTTCAGCTGGAAGCAAAGACAAGCTAGGAAATAAGCTTAGTTAGGAAGATGTTTAAAAACTTCACTGCCAACAAAGTTGAAATACATTAAAAGTATAGATCTTGCATGTTTAGACAATACATGTTATTTTCTACCTTCTGCTTAACATGTAGAATAGAAATTCCTGTTTATCAGGAGTACTAATTGTGTAGGGGCAGTTGTGCTCAGTTGTGTGCAGCTCACTAAGTATACTGGGGCTGGCAGGGATGGAGTTAACTTTCTTTGAAGTGCTCCCAGGTACACTGGGGTTTAGATTTGTGTTGAGTGCTGATATCCTGTGTGTGTTTGCTAAGCAATGCCTGCAGTGCACTGAAGCCTTTTGTTTTTTACTGTTTGTGCAGTAGGTGGGGGGGGGGAAAAGAGACTTGAAGGGATGAGAGTGGGATTGCTGACCTGAATTGAACAAAAGTATTCTGCACAGTCTAACATCAAGCTTAGCAATAAAACTGGGCGAGGGAGGAAATACTTCCTGAACTGCTGCTTGGAGACTACCTGGGCTTTGGTCTGCTGGTAAGTAGTGGTGATTGTCTTCACGTAACTTAACATTAATCTATCTTTTCCCCTTCTTTTCCAATCCATCCTGCTCTGTGGCAGGTGACAAACTTGGTGGGGGCAACAGCTGATGGGTGGTGAACTGTGAGTTTAGGTCATAGGCATGGCTTCAGCTGAGTTTTTAAGTGTTCTGAAGTTAAATGCCAAGTTTAGCAATTTGTTTCCCTTTTAATGCTCTGTTGCAGGCACTAATTGTGTAAACATTAGTTCTTTAGGTACCTTATTTGTTTGCTTGTTCATCTAACTGAAGAAATATTTCAATATGGGAATGCAGAACGTGCTTTTAAAGAAAGCAAACAATAGCTACAGGCTATAGGGTCACTCTGTTAGCACACATAGGTAGCTGTGGATTTCCCCATTTGCAGAGGTGATGCTTGGGATAAAGTTGGCAACTTCAGTTATGTCTGTGAGCCACAGACCTGCTCTTCTTCCTGGGCATGTTTAATGTATGAGTACTGTGTATTCACCCACTTCTAGAGAAGAATCCATGTTGCTTTTATTCCTCAAATGAATTTGTAACACTAATGTTAGCTGAGAAAACTAATACACTACTTCAGGCTGCAGTGGCAGTGAAATTCATTCTGGGAGCCACTTTAATTTAATTGTTCAGTTAGTAATGACCATGACTGGGGTGAGCTCTTAGTGGCACTGATTAATGATTTCACACAGTGTGTTATGACTCAGCCTTATGGGGGTAGGGCCTGTGGCTTTTAGCAGTGATCTTGAGGTTCCTAAGAAAGTCCTGGAACCTAAGACAGTGTATAATTTGTCTCTTTAGACAGATGAGAACAAATTAAAACAGACCTGGAGGTGAGCAGAAAAACCCTTAATATGTTGTGTAGAGGACCCTTCAGTGAGAAAGGAGTGGGCCTGTGCCCAAAAATTGAATGAGAAGGGTGTGTGAAAAGTGAGGGAAGTACTCAAGAAGTTCTCTTGTGCTTCTTCAGGCATGCCAGAGTGCAACTCAAAGCTGTCCAACTGCAAATTAGCAGGAATGCAGTAGAAGAGCATACTAACTTATGAAACAAGTTACAAGTTTTAAACTCCTGCAAGAGCTGGGTGCAGAAAACCCAGTGAGCCAGGGAAGAGAGAGTGGAGTGGAGGTAAACAAGCAAAGATAGCCACAACTGAAGCAAAGCTTTTAACATTCTCCACGATTCAGTTTTGACCTTGCTCGATGCTTTGTAGAATTTGGGTTTCTCTTCCTTTTGGCTACATGTAGCTGAATGGAGGAAATAAATAAAATGAAAAAAGAGCAAGCAACAACCAAACATTCTAAGGCAAGGTTAAGCAAATCTTATAACAGAAGGTAGTACAGTATATAGCTTATCAGTTTATACTGAAGGTGCATGTAGCAAAAGCTTCATGTAGCTGAAGCAAGCTTAACATTATGTTGTTGTAATAAAAAAGGAGGAACTTACTTATTACAATTGTTTTATAATTATTTTATAATTCCAAGGAAACAGCTGCCCCCTGAAACCTTTGAAACTCAGGCAATATGGCTAGAAACAGACTCAAAGGAGTGATGGAATGTAAATGTGTCCTGGACACATTGACAAGGCAGTTTAACATCAGCAATAAAGAATGCCATTAAAAAACACTCCCCTTGGGTTGGACTGAGGGAACATAACCACAGGTGGCTGTTACTGTAATATGCCCCTAAGGGCTACTATTTGAAGTCTTTAACCTCAGAGTAGCCCCTTGCAGAGAAGTGTATTCTGAAATCCTACAGGGAAAAATAAGCCCCGTACAGCACCACTTTACCCCTGGGTTACAGTTACAAGGGTTCACATAAACCCACAAGTTATACACGTACTCAAGAATCTTTGGGCTGAAACTTGAATGCTGTATTAGAGTTGAAGGAAGCTGAGAACACCAAATAAAACAAGAAAGTGAGGAAGACAAAGATAGTAACAGAACTGATACAAGGCATCAAAAATAAAAGATATTACAAGATATTAGTATTAGGGGAAGGCTGATATAGTATAGTGTGTCATTATCAAATTTCTCCACAGTAAGGGGTCATGGTTATCCTTGGCTCCCTTTCAGACTGATGCATTAAGGCTGTGGTTTTGGGTGTGCTGTTTGTTTGTTCAATAATAGGAAAAACTCAGTACGCTCTGATTTTTCTCTGCCTTTGCAGGTAGCCACAGTTGGAGACTGCATAGTAGTGTAGACTGACCCCTGCTCACCAACTTACTGCCTAAGCTGTAAGTGCTCAAAGCAGTATTTACCATCATACACATTTTTGCTAGTAAGGGAGATGTACATACATTGTCACATTGCAAATCTTTTATCTTAAATCTTTTAAAGAATGCAACTGCTGCATCTTTAGAAATGGTTCAGACAACACACTACAACAGTAACTACCAGTTAGGAGCTCTTTAGTTACAGAAAAATAGGTCTTTAATCTCATCTCATAGTATTAGACAAAGCATTTTTGGTAGTTTATGAAAACTCAATGCATACATTATGGAAGTTAAGAGCTCTCAGAGAAGTCACCAGAAAGTTGTGGTTGAGCAAAGCTTCTCTTCTGGTTGAACTTCAGCAGCCATCATTGCACACAGTTAAGTTCATTTAAAAGGTTTGGTTTAAAATGAAAGAGTTCATTTAAACAGCTGGAGGGAAAGGCACTTAGTATTGCAGTTTCCAGAATATAATTTGTTTGTCTTCCCCTCCAGTAATAACACTGTTGCATTGTTCATTCATCCACATGGAGGTTACAGCACCTGGAGGAAAAGAAATAAAAAAATCATCAATAGACACAAGTAGAAGAGAAGGGAATGTATTCAACTCAGTTTAGGATCATCAGTCAGAATCTTGCATTACATTGATAGTATATCCAGTACTGTAAGAAGAGTCACCTTATATCCCCTGTTAAACTAGTGACCTCTTGGTACACTGCCTCCACCACTTTGGGAAGAAGAGGTGAACTGTAAGTTGACATGTAGAATATAGATCACAGTAGCAAAAGGATTCACTGGGAAAGGGGGACAAGCTTGCCTAGAAAGTTTTTCACTTTGCCCTTCGGGTTTTTCATATTATAAGTATGTAGCATCTTAAAATGTATGCTTAGCATCTCACTTTAAAGATTCTCCTGGCTACAGACTGATCTCTGTATAGCTCAAATTCCAGAGCTTAAGTTAACATTAGGAGTTTGAAATAACTATTCATGAAAGCAGCCAAGTAAAACTAAGTTATTCCTCCCTTCTTGCAGCTTGGTTGCTAGCATACTGAAGACAAAGCAGGTACGCATAAGATGTCTACAAACACCCAAAGTAACTTTATCACAGTCTGGCTAACAAGTAACTTTATTAGTTAGAAAATTTTAATGCATCTGCCTCTGTTCAGTCTTGTAGTAACACTGGAAGAATACTGCTGTTTATGCTTCCTAAGAGGTTCAGGTGTTACCTGGGACAGAAGAAAAAGGTACGTGTAATATCAAGAGTAACTGAGTGGAACAAATGATTCTCAGAATTTGTCAACACTAACACAGACAGAAAATAGGAAACTTCCAGGCAATTTGAGAACAAGAATAGTTCAGGCATACCTGCATGTCCTTTGATTCTTTCAGTGACTTTTCCACTAAGGAGGTCCCAAGTCAGCAATTCACCAGACTGACTTCCTGACAAGACAGTATTTCCATCCCATCTGAAGCACCTGCAAAGTAACTGTTCATTAGTACAGTTAAAACTTTTGTATACAAGCTGAGCAATTCCAGACTAAGATAGAACAAATTGGAAAGGCTAATGTGAGTTTCCTACTTCAATCTTCACCTGTTTACATGACACAGCATTGTATACATTTTAGTTGGTGAAAGAAATAGAAGTATTAACTGACTGCTCTCTTCTTAGCTTACACAAAAAAGGAGCTTTGGAAAACAAAGGTTATTGACAGATGATGCAAGAGAACTGGCCACTTCCTAGAAACGTCAGTTCTGGAAGAGCTGGTTGGTGCTACAGCTAAGCAGCTTTTTTTTTTAATACAAGTTAAAGACTGTGTTGAAAAACAGAAGTACTTCCTTGAATAGTTGTTTCTTTTATCCCTGTTTGAAAAGCTTGATTGGAAAGCCTTTGCACTTAAGTGCAAATTAAGTATTTTGTTAAATTCAGTACCTTCACTGTTATCACACTTTTCTTTTTGCTATGGCCAACTATTGAGCTTCTACATGTTTAACTAAGCTGGCCATGCAGCTTCATAATCCATGTATATGTTCTCAGGATTACCTTTGTGGCTCATCAGCAGTCACAGAAGATATAAGCATTCCAGTCTGTACATCTATTACTTTAAAACAACAGTCTTCTCCCGCACTGAGTAGATGTCTGCTGTCTACACAAGAGAGCAAACCATCACAACAACAAACAAAAGGAGATGTTTAGATATGCAGTCCCAGTTATCATCACAGTCCGCAGTATGGCATGTTGGCTGTGATAGGCCTGATCTACTTATTTAGAGAAAATGTACTTTACATTGCCTGCAAGCATTCAATGATAAACACTGGTCTACAATCCAGACTACTGGTCTACCAGGTTAGTATGGCCTTGCATCAATTAAAAACTTCTTTATAGCAGAGAAGCATGTCATAGAATCAGAATGACTGAACTGGAAGGGATCTTTAAAGATCATCTAGTTCAACTCCCCTGCCACAGGCAAGGATACCTTCTGGTAGATCTCACCGTTCCCCTTAGACTAGAAATTTCAATAACAGAGCATATTACATGTAATCAGGTAACTCCCAGACTTGTATGTTAAAACTGAAATCCAACATACCGTGACTAAAAGCAGCATCGAACACAGTACCAGAATGACAAGGCAACTGGTGTAACACTGTTGCTGTGGTAACATCCCAAACACTAATGGTACCCTCTTTGGTTCCAGATGCTAGTATAGTGTTTGAAGCAGTAAGGTCGATTGTATTTACCTAGGAAGTTAAACATCCCATGATTTTCCTGTTCTTCCATGTAAGCTGTCTCAAAACAAGTTTTAAATATACACAGAGAAGTCTGTCATCCATTAAGATGCCATTTTATTGACAACAGCTTTTGAATTTAATTCTGCAACATCCTTAAGTGCAGTTATTACCAAGAACATGTAAAGGGCAGCTCCCTTTAAAATATCTGAAGAAAAAGATATTTTAAAGTACTTCTTTGTAGAATAGGAAACACAAAGTGACATTTCAGACTACTTTTAGTACCCGTATTCTCAACCTAAATGTAAAACTTTATGCTTGAGGTTAATATCCTCCTTTATCAGAAAGAACCAATGGCTAGAAATTTCTTTTAAAAAATACTCTTGGACGCCATTCTTAATTGTTACAATACTGACATTAGATGCTGTAAGAAAAGGTGCACATTTACATGTGATTAACCACACTGAATGTGATTATACAATTACTGTGAAATTCAAGCAGTGTGTTTTGGTGTATGGTAAAAAAAAAAAACCAAAAAACAGCAATAACTCAATTCTTTTTATTTGCTTGCCTTTGGAAGAGTTTCATTAAGAGGAAGCAATAACAATAAAAATACTGAAAAAAAAATCCTCATTCTTGAGTTTTCAAAAAGCAAAAGCAAGAAAGAAAACTAACAAAATACCAACTGCCTCTCTGCTGTCTACCTCCCCCAACCTTGAACTTTGTGCAAAGAAGCTGACGAAAGCAAATAAGAGTAAATGAACAAGTAAACAAAATAAAAACCACAAAGCAGAACTCTTCCTACTGTCGCTTTCCTCCTTAAGAGCAGACTTTTCAACAAAGGAAGCCTGGGATGCTGGAGAGCAGCACACTCATCTCAGGCAAAGTTATGCCACCAAAAGCCAATGAAACAAAGCAACCCACTGACCCAGAAACACCTAAACTCCAAAAGAGAACAGACACACAGCAAAACAAGACATCACCCCAGACAATCCTCATACTTTAGTTGTTTGTTAAAATAAGAGTAGAGATCATGTGAAACAATCTTAAATTCTGAGGTACTGCATCTCTGTCAGCATACTTACACTAACATCATGCTCTAACTCTGCAAGCAATTCAAAGCAGTTTCTTTTATTGCTCAGTGTCTCGCCAGGTACGCATTTCCACACCTACAACACAGACAGTTAAGTTTGTTCAAAGAAGCAGTAAAGTAAAATTGGATGAGTTTCTCCACTGCTTAATGCTCACATTACAAGTGCTGCTTATGTAACTGCAGGCCTCATCTGTGTGGCACAACAGCAACTGGCACCTTGCACTGTTTACATTAAGCAGAGCAACACCTTAAACATGACTGTGCTGATTCCAAATAGATTACCAAAGCACTGTATTTCACAGCACTGAATGGGTACTTACCACAAGAAGGCTTTGGGAAATTCTTTTCTATCTCTAACTTCCAAATTATTTTTATTAAAGTAACACTTCAGCTTTGAAACACAGTTGAGGTAAAGCTAACAAAAGAGAAACTACTTGTACTTATTTTATAATACTATTTATAGTAGCTTATAAATATCATATAAAATTATTCATGTATTTATTACTAGAATATAACAGATGCATCCACTCCAATGCATGTCTCTGGCCAAATATTAACTGCTAGCAATAAATAGCTACTGAAATATTGTAAACTCGTCTACAAACCTTTACAGTGGAATCCCACGATGCAGAATACAAACACCCATCTCGCCAACAAATCTTACTGACAGCATCATCGTGTCCCATTAAGATGTCCTGCCGTCTTCCAAATGCAATTGAATAAAAATATCTAACAGGAAGAGATCATAAAAGTGTTATACCTTCAGGTAACATAAACAGTTTTCTCTGAATTGATGAAATAACTTTTTTTCTACAGGAACCAGACTGAAAAAAAAAAAAACAAATGTAGAAGTACAGATATTGCATTTTATCAGTGATCTTCTGTATCTGTAGCCATAACCATAACTACCAAGGTACTCGATATAATTCAGTAGAGTCAACAGGAAGTAAATACTCACATATTATTGTCCCATGAAGAACTTATGACAGTGGTATCTCCTGGTAAGATGATACAAGATGACAAAGCCTGTAGAAGAAAAGGAAAAACAAAGCAGTGTTCTATTTCTGACCCTCAAAGAGAAGTACAGTAACATGGTTCTGGAGAACAAGGAGCATAGTAATCTCTTCTATGTGCAGCATTCTGGTGTTGTATGACTGTTAGTTAAGAAAAACCTTATGAAAAACTCCAGTAAATACAAAGTTAACTCCAAAGTTCAGAAACACATGCACAACTGATGGGACATTCATGAAGTACTTGAGAAAAGGAGATCCATGTGATTCCACACTCAGGAGAAACCAAGCCAGCTTTTCATCTTTTAAGCTATGTCAATTCTATATGAAAACAGAAACCTGAAAAGACAGGTTTCTTTCTTTTTTTTCCTCCATGATGCCAACTTATCTGCTCTGCTCTCTCAAGCAATGGATGTAGTCATGCAATTCCTATTATTCTCAGCAAGAAAAAAAAACATTCTTTACAGACATCTCCTCAGTTACATTACTGGAAGCAGAAGGAAAAAAACAGTGCAATGCTTCTGTAAGTATCATCAAAAAAATGAACAGTAATCTGTTCTTAAAAACAGCAGGCAGCTGGAATGCAAAGAAATTATTGCTTCTGGCCTTGCTGCAACACATCAACACTGAAACTACCAAGGGGGCAGGAGCGAGTGAAGAGGAAGAGAAGTGTACACGACCTCCTCACTAAAGATTAATTTGGACTAGGATTCAGTGAAAAACTTCTTTTTTACAGTGTCAAGAGGAGCATACCATGGCAGGCACCAGTGTCTTGATCTTACAACTTCATTGGGGATGTGCTAGAGTATACTATATGGCTTCTATCTGGGCAACATATGTGCCTTCCCTTCCCTTTACTCTAGAGAGGAGGGTACAGAGGAGTGTTAACACATCCTAGTATCTTGTCTCAGTAAATGACTCAGAAAATGACCCAGCTCAGGCCCCAGCGCTCAAGCACAGAAAATAAAACACAGAATCCCTTTCAACATTCTGTTTGAGAAGCATGTTGTTCAGAGGTTGCTGAGATCATCGCTCATGAAGCAATGACTGCTCAAATTCACACAGCTAAGATTCCACTCCCCATCCTTTGCATTCTTCAGCTGACTGACTGATAGACTCCGAACACTTTGGGTATGATTTCAACATGGTATAATTCAAGCTTTGTTTCTGGTCTTGAACAGCAATTCAAATTTGTTTGGAAAGACCTGTCTGCTCATGCCAGTGTACCTTAGTCTACCACAAGACTGTCCCTATATAGCAGAAAACAGTATTAACACAGAAGAGAACCATTTAATGCTCCCTTGCTGCATTCAAAGAATGTGCTCTCTCTCCCTAGAGACCTGAAAGGCAATCTCAATTCACTCTGCTAAATTACCCATGTCATATAACTGAGGAGAAGAAAGAAGAACACACTGAGGTATACCAAGAGACATTTCTGTGAGTAGCTTTCAAAAGATTCCTAATGATGTTTTTATTTTGACAGCAACTTACCATATTTGAAAAGGACACACTTCTTTGGAGTGTTTTTGATTCTTTGGAAAACATCTTCAAAGTTGAGTCTAAGTATAAAGAACAATACTACATATAACATGACTGGTTTATATTACAGAAGATAAAAATTTTGTATCTATTTGAAGATTCATATATTTAATAATAAAAATCAGGTATGGTTTTTTCAGTCTTCGAATTAATAATCTAATGGGATAAATTAACACTTTCACAAGCCTAGATGTGGACCACATTGAAATCCGTGGACATCTAAAACTTAAAAAAAATAATAAAAAAAATCATACTTAGCTATTTAATTACAGGAAATATCTATCTGACTTCATTAAGTTCTACAATAGGTGTCTTGGAAATGTAAAAAATCCAAAAGCAACCAGAAGTACTGACATACTGTTTGAGAACTTCAGTATTTGTAAGAAGCAATAGGGCAGAAAGTGAAAATGAAAATCTTGCATTTGGCAGAACATTGGGACCATGTTCTTTTAAAAACCTGTACAAATGAGAACTCAGTGATTCTGGAAGAAATAACCTTTAACACTGCCTTAATTTTGCTCCCAATGAAAGTATTCTAGGGATTTAATCTTCTTCACATTTGAAAGTTGCATGCTCTTTTGTTCACAAAGCATCACTTGGTGTTACAGCTTCTTATTGAAGCATTTGCACTGCAGGTTTGAGAAAATAACTCTGTAATAATACTCACCTTGGGATGTGGTGAAAACAGAAGACCCATTGCAGGTGACTGCTATTCCAGTAATTGCCCTGTTTAATACAAGTAGGCTCATCAGTGATTTCATAAGTTTTGAAACTTACCCACAATACTGCAAATTAAATACTGCTGAAATCTGTTATTTGATTTCTATTTAAAAAGTTAAGATATTCAATGAGATTAAAAATACTGCACTGGTGAGCAACACGCCCACATACTCAAATACACCTTGTTATCACCAGTACAGGTTCCCTATATTGTTCTGCAAGAACTTCAGCCTCACTGGAAAGGACATGCCCATGTGAGAGGATTAATGGTTTCCCATTCAATCTTCCCAATGGGGGGTTAGCTGGGCTTTGTCAGAGTTCAACTGAAATGGGGCTGCTTAGTGCACAGCTCCCTAGGAACCCATCAGAACACCAGTGTGGTACCTGGATTACCTTACTGCCCATGGCTGGAGACTTTACAGACTCCTCATACGGAGGCAACTCTGGGTTGTGCAGTAGCTGAACTTTTAATTGGCTTAAATTTTCTAATTAAATGGTATGAACAAATAAGTGGAAATGCGTATCTAGCTGCTGCTATCACAGTTTTGATGAATGGGTATTAATGTCTACTTCTAAAATGTGAATGAACTTGCTTTAGATCTGTCTAAGGAATAAAATTAAGCTCATAACTACCTTTTCTAGATTGGTAATTCATCATAGTTAAAAAACAAACAAAACCAACCCAGCTATCTCAAAAAAGAAAAAAAAAGAGAAAAATTACCATAAACCCTAACCCATCGTTCAAATAGACCCACAGATGCTCCCATCTGTAATTAAATGGAACAATTGTGACTGAAGAGTGAAGAGCAGTACCTACTCTTTGTGAATTTTATATTGTTCATCTTGTTTTAGTTTAGAAATATTGTTCCAAGCAAGCGTAATGCTTTCTTCCGTCAAATCTTCAAATGATTCTTCATTTGGAGATACTGCAATAAAATGCCACAATAGAGTTTTACTATGGACAGAAATCAGAAAGACAAACTTCAAGAAGTAGGTGAAGGTATAAACATAAATACAAAAGTACAGAAATCATGCAGAACTCCAGGAATACAAGTTTTTGGTTACTGTAGACATTGAAATGTCAAGAGTTTTCCAAATGGCATGAAAGCCACCTATCTATTATCCTAGTACATTCGATTAAGAATGTTTAAGTTTATTTTCTGCAGCGTCTCAGAAGTTAAGGGATAAAGAAGCGGAAACACACTAAATATAAATTATCATAAAAAGGCCAAATCTGACAAGGATTATGTAGCCTACTACCAGAACCATTTAACATGCATGGCCATTATTACAGCCATATACAACTGGTATAGTTACAGGTTACCATGTAAGTAATAGCCATCTTTGCTTCTCTGTATAAAAATGAAAGCCATCATAAGGTCAGTAAATCAAGGACAATCAACCAAGAGACTGAATGTCTTCCCATTCAATAGATAGCCTGGAGATTCAGTCCAGTTTATAGTAGAACCACTATTCGTATAATGAGGGCCACAGAACCTTAATTTCAGAAAAATGGGCAAAGTTTCACATTGTAAAGAAACCTGTACTGCCATTACATATCCTTTTCTTTAAGTTATTCCACCAATTTTTTTTCCAATATATACTGTAGGGATAAAGTAATTTCTCTACAGAGTTTCACTCAAGTAATGGTAGAGGGGAAAAAACCCTAGTCTCACACATTCATATCCAGGTGCTCAAATTAAATTCTCAGGCTTCATACAGTTCAAGCTTATTGCCATAAAGACAGTTCTGTTCAAGAACAGAACAAATCTCTACATTATTTACAGTCTCTACAGAGACAGTCAAAGAAGCTGCTGTCATATCAGTTTGATTCTGAAGTGTCACAAAAGACCAAGGAACACAGCCCTCCTATGTCTTCAAAGGCAGAGACTGAACAGTCCCTGAGGAGACAGCAGGACCATAAAGCAAAGTGCAGGATCGCAGCTACAGGATGTGTGTATTTTCAGATTTGAAACTGATCTTGCCAGTTTTTCCTTTAATAGATAAGACTCATGGATTTATTTTGACTCTGCTTAAAGGGCAAGTGGCCAGGAGAGTTCTATAATGAGATCCTATGGGAAAAGATAGAGAACTCCTCAAAATTACAAATCAGTTACATCAGTTTATCTGTTACGCACTTACCTGGAGATTCACTTATGGAAACACTTCGACTAGATGTTCTAGAGGAGCTTTTTGGCATTATCCGTTGAGGATGAGGAGTTGTAAACAACTGCTTTGGTGTCTGTCCAAACTCCAAGATTTGCGTCAGCAAAGCTACTTTCTCATTAGGGTCCATAATGCTTCAGAGAGGCAACATAGTTAGTTAGGGCTTTGTATCTGTCCTGGAAGCACAAGGCTACACATACAATTACTATGGTCATCACAGAACTGATTTACCACAGACACAACAGACATTCATATGACAGCTTCACAATTTCCTTTATGTACAATGACAATGTGACCTTCAGATAAAAATAACAGTATTAATAATAATAAAAAAAACCATCAGATAAATCAACATGAAGAAGAGTTCAAGTACCTATCTTTGAACATCTATTAAAACTGACAGCCTGGTATCAGTTCAGAGAATGTGAAGAGATGACGATAAATTTAGGTAACTGTTTTTACAAAAATCAAAAATTCAAATTCTTAATTACCTGTTTAAATCCACTCCTCCTTCATAAGTTAATGGATGAAACACTGGAAAAAGAAATATTTGTACAATATAAAAATACAATGTTTATCCTGGGCTTGAATCTAAGAGATTCGGAGGCAGTTTCCAAAGCCAGCTCCTTCATAAAGGAAGGACAGCTTATTTAATCTTGGTTAAGGAGAACATACTCCCACCTCCCCAAAAATGCATAGCTATGTAACTAGATCTTTGGTTATTTTATAGACAGGTAACAAAATATAGCGAGAAAGATCATAAAAGTCCATCCATGCTCCAGCTCATTCAATCTAATGATAGTGGGTTGCAGACTTTGCAAATTACATTGGGAGCTCGATATATGAGCACTGTCTCGGTATATGAGCACTGTCTCTTGATATCAAGTCATTTGTAGACATGGTCCTTTCTGTCTCTCTTATCTACTCAAGAGGGTCTTGCAGTTCATTATATTAATTAAAAAAAAAAAAAAAAATCACACTGCATCAAGAGAAGCATGTTTTGCTTTAGAAGAATATTTGCACAATAACATACAGGTACTGTAACATAAATACCACTTCTATTAATTTAGAGTCATAAACGTAAGGTAAAATATGTCATGGACACCTAATCATATGATAACTGGACCCTGCAAGCTCTAAATACAGCTAATCATGATTCAGAGGTACGTGAGGAAGCATATTCATATCTATGTATTTTCACATCAGCTCTCTCTGGAAGTAGAAAGCAATGACTGTCAAAATTAAGAATTGCTTATGCATTCCTTCCCAGTAATTTTAAGAAAAACAAAACCTGCCTGTCTCAAATTTTCTCTTGCTTATAATCAGGGTTTCTGGAATAACCAAATTATCTTCATCCTATATTGTGCATCTGCTAATCTTCCTTTACCAAAGATGTTTCCTTATCAGATAGTAACACAGGCTAAATATCACACTGTTAAACAGATTGATCATTAATATTACTATGATGTCCGCAGAACTTCAGCACACCAATATAACAAATACTAAGCAACAGCTTCTTTTAAGAATTTACAATAGCTACCTACAAGATCAAAACAATATATCAAACATTTAAACTTTACTTACATAGAATAGAAAGCATATGTACTACAAAAGGACAAATCTGGTTACCCATGTACTTTTTCCTCTATTCATGCTCTTAAACAGCTGTAGCCCATTACCTTCTTCTTTTCCTTCTCAATTCACTTAAGAGGGAAGGAGGGGGGAATTTCTGAATTGAAATTCTCACACTACAATCACAGCGTAGGAAACGTTAAGTACCTGTTTGCATGGCTGCTCCTACAAATTCCCATTCCTAACTGAGACACACTACTTGAATGCTACATTGCTGTACTGCACTGTAAGTAAATAACAGCAACACTGCAGAATCATCTTAGCTGCCATTTTAGAATCATGGAATTGCTCAGGTTGGAAAAGACCTTAAAGATCATCAAGTCCAACCACAACCTAACCATAGTACCCTAACTCTAACAACCCTCCGCTAAATCATGTCCCTGAGCAAGGACTTTACATCTTCAAATATGAAGACAACAGATTTACAAGACGCTACTTCGGGTAAGAAAAACCTGTATTTCCTTTAAGGATCAAGCACTAAAAGCATAGCAATAAAAGATCAAAGCCAATTTATCATCAAAGTTTTGGTTTTGTTACTTCAGTGAAATGTATACTTACCATTGCAAGCCATAACAGCTTTACTTCCTTTTTGTTTGCAGCCAAACACGAGGTCAATCCACTCATGAAGATGCTCCGAAACGTACTGACTTTCTAAAGCCTCTTGGCTCTTCCGAAGAAAGTCATCAGGACCTGGCAAGAGACGGGTTAATTAAAGATTTCCTACTTAGTATTATTACCCCTCCCCGTTCTCACAGAAAGAATCAAACCAGAAGACCCATACTAAACTGAAAATTGCCATGAAAATTAAACACAACTACAGAATGTATGAATGCTTAAGAGCAAAAATTACTTCAGGACATAACTATGAGAGCTTTTGAGAGAAAAACGATCCCAGAAAATAACAGTGATAATCCTGAATTCATTCATAATGCAAGAAGCTGGACTACTACTACCTGATGCCCAAGGGGGAAGCTCTACATCTTCAACAGTCTTTCCACCCTGTCTTTTTCCCAAATCCAATTTCAAGCTGTTTACTAGAAAGCTAGAATCGTTTTCATAAAATTCTGGAATCAACTGGTAGAAAAGAAAAAAAAATAAGAAAGGAAAAAGTTCTGAGGTTAGCTCAGCTTCAGTTATTTTAATTCAAAGACATTCAGTAAAAACAAAGTTATTCAAGTTCGTGCATTAAGCCCTAAAGTTGGATAGCAATTCCTCCAAGCTTTCCTCCTTGTCAGAAGAGCAGCACTAGAAACTTCCTTGCATTTCATTTCAACTTCCAACTATTAGGCATCCTGTCCACCACCAAGGCAATTATCCAAACTAAATTCAGGGACCTATATATTTTTATATATATATGTAGCATTTGAATTCATAATAACAAGATCCCTAACTGTATAGCTGCCTTCTTATTTTTAAGACTTCAGGTAAGATTCATGACAAAAAATCTAGAATACAACTAGAATGACAGAAGTTTGAGAATTTAGATCAGTTATTTAAAGATCAAAGCTAACCATTCTTAATTCCTCCATTATATATTTTAAAAAATTAATTATCATTAATTACTTTGATAAAAAACATTTAACATTACCCACTAGTTGGCAGTTAATCATTCAACATATTCTACTAGTTATTGCTTCTATAAAGCTCAAAAATGTCTATCATTTAACATCCCAAATATACTGTTACCATAGAATAACTTGGGTCCAAAGAGACCTTGAAGCCCATCTAGTTCCAAGTCCCCCCAATGCGAAAGCAGTGCTGCCAGCCACTAGATCTCATCACCCAGGGCCCCATCCAACCTGGCCATGAACACCCACAGGGATGGGGCATTCACAACTTCTCTGGGCAATCCATTTCAGTGCCTCACCATCCTCTGAGTAAAGAATTTCCTCATGATAGCCACATTTTCCGTGTTCTAGTTGAAAACCATTCTGCCTTGTCCTACTGCTATCAGACTGTGCAAAAAGTCAGCCTCTCTCCTTATTATACGCTTCCTTTAAATAATGGAAGGCTGCAACAAGGTCTCCTCCAAACTGAACTTCCTCAACCTTTCTTCAAAAGGGGAGTGCTTCAGCCTTCCAAATATCTTCATGGCTCTTCTCTGGACCCATGTCTGTCTTGTACTGGGGGCCCCAAGCCTGGACACAGTACCCAAAGAGGGCCTCAACAGGGCATAACAAAGGAGGACAACAGTTACCTCCCTTGCTCTGTTGACCATCTCTCTATTGATGCAGCCTAGGATACAGTTGGCCTTCTGAGCTGCAAGCACATACTACCAATTCATCTTCAAGTCCTTCTCCACAGAGCTGCTCTCAAAAGTTTGCACAGATGTCTGAGATTACCCAGACCCAAGCACAACACCCTGCACTTGGTATCCTTGAATCTCATGAGGTTCTCTCATACCCACTTCCCAAGCTTGCCCATTAGATGGCATCCCTTCCTTCTATCACCTGCAGCATCCTGCTTAGCCTTATAACGCAGCCAAATCCTAGAGAGACTCCAGTAGATGAACCCAATACCTATGATTGTACATTTTCCCCCTTATCCCTGTAACATTCATAATGACACTTCTGCCAAATGAAAAGATAGAAAGGCATAAGAGGAATCACACAACTACAGAGAAAAAACTTCAAAACATGAAAGGATACAAAAAATGCCATCAATAGCTGAGATAAAATATAAATGAATTAAGATCAACAGGAGACATCTGAGAAAAGTTCTGCACAAGTGCTTAGACTCAAGTTATTTTCTGGCCATTTACCTCTTTGAAATCTGTTGCGCCATCCAAACAGTTTTTCCAGGTTTCTGCAACACTAGACAACATATCAATTACACATTTTAAAATGTTTTCTAACATTTTCTAATGCTTTGCACTCCCTTGATGCCCATTTTAAAATGACAACTTACATATAGACAAAACGTAAACAAACCTGTTGAACATTCTGTCAGCATGATCAAACTTTCCATTCTGCAGACAGAGCATGTATTCTGGAGCTAGAGAGAAATAAAAAGTCATCATCTTTCTTTAAACCTTGCCTGCTTCTGAGGCAAATGTCTGAACAGAGAATGCATAAAAGTAATCTTACCAACTCTAACAAGATAAAACAAAACATAACCCGGGGATGAATAGTGGCTCCCATACATGAACTTAGGTTCTGCCATTTCCTCATAACGTGTCTACAACATAAGGAAGAGAGGTCTGTTTAATATCAGTGCTCCTGCTTTCTTTCACAGTTTTACTCACAGTCTCTATAGATTTATTTAAAAAAGGGAGAGATGAGAGCCACCCATTACATTTCTTTTTCCCAAAGACAAAATACATTCTAAGCACTAATAAGCATGCAGATTTAATCAGGTCAGTAAATCAATAAGGCACAAATGTTCTTATAACTCATCGTCCAGAATTATCAGGTCTTCAGCTTTTTTCTTCTCTTACTTTCCACACGCTAAGGCAGTGATATAACTTCAAAATAGCATGAACACAGCCTTCCCTTTTTGTCTTTCACATGCAGTTTTCTAAGGTTATGGAAGAACACACTGATTGAACTCAACCTGGCACATTTCTTCACAACTTAACCTTTTACAGGTTATCCCTAAAACCTACTCTACTCTAAATAAGAAGCCTATTAGTGCACTAAGTATAAGATGGCTAGCATTTTGAGAAAACAGCCTAAACTTAGAAAGAAATTTTTATTTACTGTTACTGAAAATGTAATAGTGATCATATTTGTACCTTCCAGAATCTGAAGAACTGTAAATGATTTGGGAATAGCTACCTTACCATGCAGAAGATTATTTTGTACTACAGATTTAAAGCAAGAAATGGAGAACCTTCTTACTCTAATTGTCTATTGGACTGCTTATAAAAAAGAATGTCTACTTATTTTGAGAAATGGAAGAAATTTATTTACTATTATCTGCATCTTCATGATCCTCCAATCTCCATGAATCTGTATTTCCTCCCTTTGAAGCACTCTCACTCAAACTCTACATTTTTCTAAATACTTTGCATTGCTACTACTTTGCCGTCTTTTACATTATGCTTTTTTTTTTTTTTAATCTTTTGCTCTGAAAGTTTTATATTTCCAGTTATAAACTGCCAAGTCATATAACTACTATAAAAAACAACCAACCAACCACGCAGAACTTTTAAAGGTACAACACACATGAATGGTACTAAGAGAGATAAACTAGACTCGAATAATTTGAAATTTTTCACTTGTAAAACCAGTGCTGATAAATAATAAACTGAAAACAATTGTGATGAAGTTTTATAGGCAAGTTTGTTTCTGATAAGGTTAATAGATTGTTTACACATCTGCATACTTCCCAAAGACTGCTTGACAAAGCTTCTTTTATTGCCAACATGCACTAGGCCAAAAATGTAGTATAGATAAAGTTCAAGACAGACGTACCAATAACCTCTCCAGTCTCTCTTTATTCAGGGCACCAATTGGTTTACTAAGGTCACGGAATGTTTCAGGTTTTGTCAGATCTGAAAAAACAGACCATGAATCATTCCCACTAGAAAGGAATATGTTCTGATCAATACTAAAAACTGAAAGACATCCTAACAATAGAAAAACAACAAAATCCACAGAAACACCCAAGTTCTTTTCTCCCCAACTGCAAGAGAATAAAACTCTTACCATAAGCACATACTTGTATCCTTACTTCCCAGTAGACTTATCTCAAATCTCTTGCTTAAGAACTAGGTGTCACACATCATTGACAGCTATTGCAACTAACATCACCTGATGCACAAGATGCTACCAGTTGCTAACCAGTACTTTCGTCTTTCTACATGCTACAGTTAAAAACCACCAAACAATCAGACTGCAGTATCCGAGTAGATGCTTCCCCTGCTCGGCTGGTTTTAGAGGAACACAATCCTCTAAAGAACAAGCTTCCAACATACATTAAAAAAAAGGCCCTTAAACAAGAAGCCTATTTAGACACAAGCCTTGTCAGCTTCTTTTTAGCTTGCAATATTAAAAACCTGCCCAAGAACACCTAGATCTTATTCATTTCAATGCATCCAAATCATTCCATAGAAAGCCATTATAGTGGTTCTTATGCATTTCTTAGAATCACGGGCAGTCTTGGAATGTTCAATACTACTAATTTTCAAAGTGACTGAACAGGTGCAAAACATTCTGAAAAGTGAAATTTTTCACAGAAAAAGTGAGACAACTGAAGTATTTTTTCCACCAAACTCTAGAGTAAGAGTAAGTGCACATGAAAACATGCAAGGTCAATAACGCCAGCTGCGTCCTGATATACTTGCAACATCATGCAGCGTAACACATTCTTAATGCCTCCCCCCAGGTTGACAAGCATGATGCACCAACATGTTGTCTCATTGACACGCACCTAATTCTGCACTAGAGTAGTCTGCTATGATCCAGGGAAATACAGGATACTGGGAGAGATCATTGCAGCTCCTATCAGCTAGATTGTTGAGATGAAGCAGATACTGGTAGTTTGATATATGTCCTCGCTGCCATTGCAACATGTAACTCTCAGCTGTATGCTCCGTAATATGGTTTTCTAAAATAAAATCAAACATTAAGGGTTTTGAGGTTTGCAGTTCCACTCATAAAATTTTACAGAGATTAGCATTATTCAAGGTACTATACAGTTATTATTGGCACAGAAGCTTAAAATCAAAAGTCAGAATTAAGTGGTGATTTTATGTTTCAATAGCTGCTATACTTAATACATTTTGTAAGACCTGTTCGGATAGGTCTGGAGGAGTATTAGAACTGAATACGGAAACAATGGATGGGAAAGAACCTGACCATTAACGGAGTTAATTTTCTTAATACATATGCTAGTATTTTGGAATGTTTCTGTTCATGATCTGCAAAAGATACATTCATTTTCTAGGAAGTAATGAATAAAGGACTTAATAGAAATAAGAACGTAACTGTTTTAGAAGGGTAGGTTTCATCATCCATTGCTGGGCCTGAGGAGAGTCAGTGGGGTCTGTTGTGACAGGACAAAAGGAAATGACTACAAACTAAAATGGGAGATTTAGACTGGATATAAGGACCGTAGTTTTTACAATAAGGTTAGGGAGGCAGTGGAACAGGCTGCCCAGAGATGTGGTGAATGCTCCGTCCCCAGAGATATTCCCTTGATCTAGCTGCAGACATCCCTGTTCACTGCTGGGGAAGACTTAATGGGGCAGGAGGGGAATCCACCCATACAGAACATAATTGAGCAGAATTGATCTTACATACTCATATACTCTTTTCTGTTTACGATAGTCTTTTTTTTTTTTTTTTTTTTGAAGGTACATATTAAGTTGTAGATCAAAATTATCAGTTTCACTTTAATAATGTTATCTCAGCTTCCATACTCAGCTCTTCAAATACAAAGAAAGCTTTTCAACATCCATTTTGAACTTTGCTTTCTTCTATTAAAAATTCTTATGGCTAATACATTTTTAAATTCTTCCCACAAATCAAGAGAGAAAAATCTAGACAAATTTCTCCTTGCAAAGAACTACAAACTACATTAATAAATTAAATGCTGCAAACCTATGTATGTTGCAATAAGGTAATAGAGCTCATCTCGATCTTGACAGTTGTAGAATTTCAAGTAGATGTCAGAACATATATCATTTTCTGTGCAAAATACTTCGAGTCCCTTAGAAATTAAAGAGGGAGAAAAAGTAAATTGAAAGCAGTTACTAACAAGCTATAACATTCATGCTTTTACAGAATATTCCAGTTACTAATGTCTAAAACTCAGTGCTGGTCATAGTTTTGCATGCATTTTCTAACATTTTCATACACTGTCTAACATTTTTCATCTTTCCTACTTCCAGCCTTAAAAATACTCCATCTATACCCAATCAAGCAAACAGATTAACAGCTGTTCATAGACAGTCTCTACCTGGCTTGTTTAAGGGCAGGTAATGTTTTTTTGCTGTCGTTTGTTTCTTTTCTAGTTTAAATGTGTTTTGAGAGAAAAGTTTTGTTCAAGTCTGAAATTTCAGTGTAAACACTGGAAACACACAACTGAGGTTCCACCGCAGCTGTGTCAACATCCCTCAATCACATACAGCAGGGTTCATCACTCCACATTAGTTTCAATCTACGCTAGTGATCAGACTCCCTCCATGAATCAATCCAGGGAGAAAGTGCACCAAGAGAAGACAATTCATTCTATTTTAAGGTAGGTGTTTGAGATAAATAGAATGAATTGCTTCCTGGAAGTACTCCTTCTCTTCTCCCTCTACACCAACTGCTTATGAAGGAGGTTTTTCATCCTTGACAGAATTCACTTTTTCTGTTTTCATCTTTTTGACAACACAGGGAACAAAAACACTTCAAAACTAGAAAGTGTTGAGTGCTGTTCACTATATAATCCATAGGTTTTAAAACTACTTCTGCCTAACAATGCATACAATTTCAAATGGTCCATTTAAGAAACTATATACACAGTATGTTGTTTAAAAAAAGTATTGAGCTTACCAGCGGCATTAGACCATGTCTTCTTTTATAGATGCGGCGTACATTCTGCAGTGTTATTTGTACTACTGGTTTCTGTAGGGGGAATAGGGCAGAGGGATGGAAGAGAAAAGATGGAGATATATGTTCTTCCACCCTTACCTTTCCAGTTAACCTGAAGTTTCTCTGAACTAGAGACACTTGGCAATACAAAAGCTATATCCTTCCACATCACATTAGCAGCCCAACAGTGGTTTTAAGCAGCTACTTTAAATATAAGTTAATCTTTGCTGCAGCTTCATGTGTGAGTAGAAAAGCAGGTTAAGACTAAATAACAATGCATCATCACCCAAATTTATTGCCAGTAAGAATATTCAAGCAAAAGATGAGCAGAACACACACAACTACGTTAAAAATAAGGAAGCCATCAGGTTAGTGGGCAAAACGTTTGCTGATGGTGCCATCTGATGGACAGAAACTGAATGGCATTCTGTCATAATAAGCCATCATAATTAGCTAGAAGCAGATTTTACTTGTCAGGACATGTCTTAGAGCCTGTTAAGACTACTGCTGCTATTTCGGTGACAAAGTTCCAAAGCAGCTACATGACTGTGATATGTACTCAGTTTTCCATTAGGGAAAGAAATGTTCAGATTTATAGAAAACCTAGCTACAAACTTCCTAGCTACTACAAAGTGAATGAAAGCTCTCACCAGGCAGGAACAGCACCACAGAGTAAAATTAGAAACTTATCTTAAATTATACACTACAGAAAGTTATTTTAAAAAATATTAATGGAGAACAAGCAAAGGATATTTTGTACTTTGTCAATTTTAAGGAAGTTAGCTCGGAATAAAACCTCAGAGTACTGAATGTAACAAAGCAGCATAAATTACAGGAAAACTAAGGACCTTTTATCAGAAATGAAAACAGTCTTCTTGGAGATGTGCCCCACATGCATTTAAGAGGAACAATGGAAACTGTCCATAGAGGAGCAGTGTGCTCACACCATATGCAAGACCATGAGGCACTTACAGGATATCCATTAAGAGGCTGGAAGTACAAGTTAGCATCAGTAACACACACATGCCCTGGATTAGTCACCAGCGGTGTCACCATTTCTGCTTTACATTCCATACGCAGCGTTTCAGAAATGCTTTGAAATCTACAAGTGAAGAAAGGGAGTAAGTTTACCTCCGGTTCTTACATATGCAGAGCTATCCTTAAATTCTTTCAGGTTAGTTTATAATTTTGGCACATCTGAACAGGGATGCTTTAGGCACGAAGAAGGTTCTCTGTTGAGAACTCTAACTGGCAGTCCAGAAAGAAAAGTCGTATGTCCTGCTTCATTCTCAGAACAATAACCCATTACTACTTAAATTATCTTATACAGTGCTTTATTTGGCATTTACTATACCTAACCTGAAACAAATTCATGGATAAACAGAAGAATCTGAAGAGGAAAAAATGAAAAAAGTAAAACGCACACCTTCACAGAATGTCCTATTCTCTATACCAAATTTTTCAGAATGTTACAAAGATAGATCTGCAATTTAGCCAACTTGTGCTGCCCAAAGAAGAACCTATTATGTAATGAAGCCATAGACTAAATAACCAATAGGTAAAAAATATTTTACCATAAGTTATTAGAAAGATACCTGTTTTTATCAAATGAAGTTCTAGCCAAACGGGATTGCAGTATAGCAGTTATCTAACATGAAAGAAAAAAAATAATATGCTTTATGATTGAAATGCAATTAGAATTTCATTAGAAACAGTAATATTCTGAAATAATCAGACACTTACCATGGCAGCTTGATCTCCCATCTTATCCAGACAAGAAGCCCTGTAGAGCTAAAGGACAGTGAACTAAGTGAAATAGCACTGATGTCTCACACATTTGAAAGTCTTCAGCAACTAGGAAGTTAGCATTCTCGATGACCAAGAGAGTACTAGAAGAGCTATTATTATTTCTCTTTAAAGCTGAACACATTTACTCATTTTTATTGTTAAGTGATTGGTCTATATATGATCATCTTGCATAGCAAAAAGCTAGTGAGAGTAGCTTACAACTGACTTTAGAACTAGAAGGTATATTCAACTGCTGCATTTTCAAAACTTGATACTCCAAGAATTTCACTTTTAGAAATAATTAAAGGAAGCTTCCCATTAAATATCAAAAAAGATTCTGTGGAAAAGTGTGTTGTGATAACCACATACCTGATGTAGAGTTTGCACAACATCTCCTAGTTTCCCAGCTACATCCAGTTGGAATAGGTGTTCTGTTTTACCCTAAAACCAAAAGCATATTTACTACAAAAAAAAGTTCAAAATACAGTATAACAAAAAAAAATTAACTAAAATTAAACCTTGTCAAAGTATGTTGCAGTATACGTTTGAAAGACCTATGTAAAACCTGTTGTGTTTTTTATCTTTATAAATTTAACTTCCCTGTGGTAACCTCCTTGTGCAGTCCCTGGTATTCTTAATATAATATACAACAGCTATGAAGCACTCCATTTAATGTAGCACCAACATCTCCAAGTCTAGAACTAATACATGCTTGAACTAGCTTCACTAGCATCACATACACAAGCAAATCATGTAATCACAGGAAGGCTTATATTAGAAGGGACTTTAAAGATCACCTGGTTCCAACCTCCTTGCCACTAGCAAGCAGCTCTCTGAAGTGTAATTTCAAAATATTTCTGGTTTTGACTTACGTCTGTTAAAAAGACGTATGGATCAGCTGATAGTAACTCTTACACATGACTCATCTACAGTGGAGGTGGTTGGGATCCCTTGAAAATCCCTGAGCATAGTATAAAACTGCACTGACAATTCTGTAGGGTTCTGTTATTTCTTAAGTTAGACTTCTAGTGGTCAGTGTCTACTTCAAGACATTGATCAATGTGGGTATAACTACAAACAACCTAAGAAAAGATGAAACTCTGGATGACTGTTAACATAATTTATGCAGTCAGAGCTGAACTGACAGCAATCCAAGAGCAAAACATGGTTCAGGAAATAAATTGCCAGATTAATGAGAGACAAGAAATTCAACAGCAATTTGGATGAAAGCCTCAGTAACATTTCATTGACTACACATTTTTTCCTTTAACAGGAGAAACACGGCTCTCATTCAACGGTCACTTACAGCCTAGAGGGTAAAAGCTGCAGAGAGCAGTTCTTTGTCTAGCTCTGCAGCCTGGAAAGACCGCGATTTGGTGTTTTGTAATACATCTCCAAAAATAAACAAATAAATAAATAAAATCAATGGAAGACACAGAAGCAAAATCATACTACCAGATTCTAGCACCCTGTGAACCACCTAGAACAGGCAATGATTCAGGTATACCTAGCAGCAGCAAAGAAATACTCTTAAGTGGCTGAAGGCAAACTAGACTTCTTGTTTTGCTATGAAGAAACATAACTGCACTTTCGTGAAGGAAGTTGTAATGGTTAACTATTAGGAATTATTTAGGTATCTTGACTTCAGACAAACTAAAATGGAGAAGTTTCCAAACAACTCTTCCAATTATTTTTCTTTTTCCCCTGTGTCAACAATGCTATTGATAGTTACGTGATGCTTCATAAATCTTGCACTTGGAAGCAAAACAGAATACAAGAGAACAGAAATGAGGTTTTGCATAAAGAATTAGTGGCATAAAGTAAACAAGGAAAATAAAAATAATAATTAAAAATCATAGTTTAGAAACATCCCCAAAGTAGTTGTTGAGAATAATTCAGACATCATCTATTGCCTCTTTGCTGTTCATAGTAGCAACCTAAGTTTACTGACTTGATCATTTTTGAAACCTCTTACTTGAAGAAACATGGCAAGAAATTTAATTGCCTGCTCATTTCTAAACTGTGGAAAAAAGTCAAGGCAGAAAGAGTGTTTATATGACTCTGCATTTTCCATTTTGTGTTTGTATCTTCATCTACCTCCCACTTCAGCTGAAAACCACTCAATTCTTTACCCTCAAGCCTTTAAACTCAAGAATTTGAGTGGAAAGCAACAGAAGCAAGCTCTGGATTCTGATGTGAGCAAACTTTTTCTGCAATTTCTTTGAACTGTGACCCATTCAGCTGGGAAACAAATTAAAACCAAGGAGAAACGGTGCCCACTGAATATGAGTGGCCAGTTGTCTGTCTGATTGTTGAGCCCATAGAGCTGCACATTGAGGTAACTAGCAAGAGACAAGTCTGCAGCATGTATTCCAGTAAATATCGCATACGCGTTATGGAAGAATTTGGGCACTAGTTTTATTTAATATGCACAATTATTTTTTTTTTCAAGTTTTATTGTGATATTGCACCAATTAGAGTTATCTTACTCTTTTATAATGGAGAGCATTGGTTATTTGCAAAATATTAGTTTGCTAAGAATAATGAAAAATTGTATACTTACTCTTACTGTTTTATAGGGTGCAATAACATTTCTTTCTTTAATGAGAAAAACCTGAAAGAGCAAGAAACTGTTAAGGCTTTTGTTCAAAAACAAACTAACAAACAACCTCTCGCCAAAAAAAAAAAACCAAAACAAAATACCACCTCTTCCCCCAGCCATCAATAATAAATGTAAGTCCTGAGAAATACAAAGCTAAGAACACTGCTTAAGCAACCAAAACACTAGGTTGCAACATCCTGCTTTAGCTACCATAGATGAACAGCAAAAAAACAATGACCTTTTGTAGCTTCTGTGAAAGGGATGAGTGTTCAGTGCATTTCACAGGCTTACTTTGACAGTCAATTAGTGAGCTTTTATTCCCATCATATGACCTTCAAGAAGCTGTAAGACTTAAGGCAGTAAGCACAGCCAGCAGCCTAACCCCATTCAACAGAATACTTCTGCCTGCTTTTTTTCGTGGCAGCTTATGCCCCTGGGGTTCTGCTCTGAAGAGAATACCTCTTCTCATAGAGGGCCTCACTTCACAACTGCTGCACAAGCCTTCTCAAATGAGCTCTTTCTATGCCAAACATTTTGCTTCTAGTTCCAACAGTTATGGATGTCATTTCCTTTCCCATTCTACAGCTTACTTTTGAGCAGTTCTGTTTCTTTGATGCTACTCCCAGATCTGGAGAGGATCCTCCACCCAAAAAAACCCACCAAAACCAACAAAAAAAACCATATGAAACCACTTCCCTTCATTTCATTCTCTTCACAGCCCCTACAGAAAGGCTTAACTGTTGTCACATTGGTTTATAGATTATCACCTTATCATTTATCATCTGAAAGATGTCAAAGCCAAAAATGAATCATACTCCACTCCGTCTATAAGAAATGCTCATACTTGCAAAAATCTCAGAGCTGGGTAAGACCCTAAATGGGTATGAGCTCCACAAAACACACTAGAGTGAATGACCAACGGTTTTCTGCTCCATGCCTGAGAGACCTGTCCACTCCAACAGCCTTCTCACACACCAGACACATGGTTTGCTCGGGCCCAATGCCTTGGTTTGCTTCCCACGGCAAGCACCAGGCCTGTGGGTCTGCACCCAAAGGCAAGCAAAAAAGACAAAAGCAAGGTCTGGCCTGGCAAATGGGGGTAAAGGGAGTGGATAGCATCAGCCTGAATAGTAGTAGACCCACAAGCAGGAGAGCTGGCCTTTGCCACAAGGCAACTCACAGTACTGATATGCCAGAAGAAATTAAATGGTAGAGAGGCTCAGCATACCTCTGTAAGTGCTACTTTAAATAATAATTGGCTCCTTTTATCTGACATCAGCTTTTACAGACCTGTATTAGACATAAGAAAATCAACCCAGTAAAAGATATGCACTTTATACTTAGCTGTTCTTGTACAATAATTGAAGACTTTTTCTATACTGAGACACCCAAATTCCAAATTACATGGGAAAAGTAGACAGTACACATCAAAATACATACAGAAGCAGAGCAAAAGAGTTGCCATGTTGTATTAGCGTTATCTATTTTGTAAGGCAGTTCTCCAACACTACCTTGAGAAAAATTACTGAAAAATAAGTTTATAAGTTTAATCCCAAATTATTTCTATTTACTGTATTGTATAGCCATTAATCTTTAAGTTATTTGTTACACAGAGCAAAGCTTCTTGTCCAGCTATGGATTAATACTATTTTGAGCCTGAAAAAAAGGCAAGTATGTTTAAGATGATCTGATTATTCAATATATGCACTTCCCTGTAAGACAGAAATTGCACTCAGAAGAAATATTCATAATTAGGTCATGATTTATCATGAATACAACGTGTGAGTACTTCATACCTGACATACTTTTACACAAAAATACAAGCATATGTCATTCCAACAAAACATTTCAGAACACTTCCCCATGCTAGGGCTAACAATATTTGCCATTTTAAAAGTTAATTTTTTTTTCCTTTGTAATGTTTCTATACTTACCTGTTCTGCAGAATATATATGAATATTGTATGATAGAGGAATAGAGGAACAGGTAATAAAAAAGGCAATGACATTACAGACAATACTTCAGATATTTTTTCCCCTTTACCACCTGGAAGTTTACATAGAATAATCAGAAATGCCTTAAAAAAAAAAAATAAAACCATTGAATACATAAAAAAACATGAACACAATGAGCCTTGACTACACAGAACTCTTCAGAGAAGTAGTTTCAAGATGAAATTAAGTGTACTGATTACCTTAACACAGGCCATGAACTTTTCTAGTGCAAATTAAATTACATGCTTGAGTTCCTTTTTGACTGCCACAGTACTTAACTGAGCAAGGCTACCGAATTCAAGTCTCTTTAAAAAGAAATTTTACGAATTTGCTACAATGTTTAAGATAGTATTTTCCACCTCACTTCAATTATTTCCTGAAATGAAATTTTTTCTGAAGCATTGGAACACTTACCAGCTCCAATTAATCAAAGTTTGAAGTGCATTATGTTGGTCTTTACTAAATACAAACATGTTCAAGTCAATCATAACCCACAACTGAAAACTGAATCCATGATTCAGAATAGCTACTGAAAATGATTTGGTGGACAGTTTATGAAAACATAGTCTACTGAACTTCAAGAATTAAGATGGCTTTGCTATTATCAATACATGCTTCAGAAGAAAGAAAATGATACATAACTGTAGCAAGACCAAAACAAAGATAATGAATAACCAGATTTAGATAAGTCTACTCTCTTTTTACTCAATTCTAAAATTGTCCTAAGCCCCATTATAACATGTACAGTGCAGAAAATTCCCTTTAATCAAAGTCTCATTAATAGAGCCACTAATAGTTTAAAGTTTCCAGCATCAGCAGCTTCACATTAATGCTAAGTTTTGCTTCCAGAAACTCCTCATCCTAGAATTCCAGCTATGAGAAACACCATTAAAGAACATAACCTCTCACATTTATACACTGAAAATCCATTATATGCAGCTCTTACCTGATTACACACAACAGAAATCCCTCCAGATGTCTCCCTAGAATGTAAGTAAGATACTTAGAGATGGACATTTCAGCTTTTTAAAAAAAAAAGGTAAATGCTTATATACAGTAATCCAAATTCACATACCGTAAGAATGGGTTGCTTGCTTCATTGTCTTCTGGTGCTTTTATACTAATGCAGTCTCTCAATGGTATCTGTGGCAAATTATAAAGACATACACAGATGTGTGCTCCTTAAAAGCAACCTTACTTTCCCAAGAAGTTGCAGTCACAGAATGACGGAATCACCAAGGTTGGAAAAGACCTACAAGATCATCCAGTCCAACCATCCACCTAAACATCCACCAGTGTTACACTGCTTACCTTGATAATGGGTTGGAGATTCTCATCAGGTTCGAAAATGATTGACTTTGAACAGATTTTTAGAGAACCTCTTATTTTCCTAAAGGAAACAATAAATAAAGAAGTAGTTGTGTATATCTTGCAGATAGATGAGACTAGAATAACTCCTGTAAATGAGGGAATGTAAAACTTTTGTACCTTTCATCTCTGCAGCCTTTATTTATGATATGACTAGCTCTGTGTTGTTCGAAGTAATATTCTTCCAGGTTAAGAAGCAGCAGTGAAAACCTACAAATAAATAAACTCAAATTATTCCTTCAAAACCAAAACACCACAGAATAGTTAATATTCTTAATAAAAATAATCAAGTGCTCGGGAAATGTTCACTGTTATTGAAATGTTATTATGCTCCTCCCTCAACCCCTAAGAATGAATAAATTTATTTTTCAAAGAACAAATCTATGTGGAAATTTTGTGCGCACGTGATGATGACCGTCTCATGCTCCTCCAAAAGACGTAAAGTTTGATATTTCAGGCCGTTCATGCCTCAGGTGTGAACTAGCCTAGAACAGTCAATCTTTTAAAATAATAATTCATTTAACCCACATGAGTATAAGCCAGCTAAAATCTGCAGTGACACGAGAGGTGGAGCTGGAATTAACAGCAAGGAACACAGAAGATCTTTCTGAAGCAAAGTGACACTGGTGACACTGGTTTAAAATGTTAAGTGAAAACCACACGCGTGGTTTTTAGAGCATGGCTGCATCACTCTACAGATACACTCTGGTGAAGTATAACCTTCCTCTCTGACCACTTTCCTGCACTTTCATTGTACCAGTGCTTGCTCAAAGGCACAGAAAGGTCTGCTTATGGACTAATAAACAAACCTCAACCAAAAAAAAAAAAAAAGTAGTCTGATATATTTCATTGTGAGACCACTGTCACGCCAATACTCTCACAAGATAGATGCAAATAGGCTAGCTTTGATATAACACAAACTTACATCCTTAAACAGCTTAAATAACTGCTACGAGCAATTAAAGATTTACTAGCAGAAGTAGTTCAAGTTCTTTACAGAGGGTGGTGAGGTGCTGGAACAGGCTGCCCAGAAAGGCTGTGGATGCCTCATCCCTGGAGGTGCTCAAGGCCAGGTTGGATGGGGTCCTGGGCAGCCTGGTCTAGTATTAAATGGGGAGGTTGATGGCCCTGCACGTGGCAGGGGGGTTGGAGATTCGTGATCCTTGAGGTCCTTCCAACTCTGGCCATTCTGTGATTCTGTGATAGCAGGGTGAATTTATGCTCACCTACGATTTTCAGTGGTAGGGATGACTGAGTATTGGCACAACAGGAGGAGTAGAAATATTTTACATCCTTCAGTCACAGGAACAACAGCTGTTTGTGCACGGGGCTGCCCTGACAGGCAGAAGTACTTACCATTAGTCACATCCACGCTTTGAGCTAAGTTCTGTAATGCATTCAGGATGTGTTTTACAAGAAGCGCTTGTGACAATGCTAATAAGTGCCAAGTATCCCCAGAGCAGTATTTCACATTTAAATAGCAAGCAGTAAGCGTGTCAAGAGTTCACGAAATGAACTCATACTAAACAGTCTGCTTGTTAAGTAAGCATATTATATACCAGAAAAAAATAGCACTATAGGAAAATTCATCTTGTTTACGTAGGTTTTGTGTCATGACTGCGTTACACCAAACAAAACATAACAAAAGTTTACTGTAACTACAAGTAGCAATGGATCTACATGTTCAAAACTGCTTCTCTTCTTAATAGCCCATGTCTCTGTTGCTTTTTCAAGAAGTCAAGCATGTTATCAACACCCCTCCACTCCTGAAAACAAGTATTTTATGTGCCATTAAGAAAACACAGAAGTTACAATGGCATACATCATATCAGCCTATCCCACAGTTACTGGTACTATATGGTTCTTAAGCATCTCCAGTTTCCAATGGAGTTTCACCGGATTTGCCTTTACACGTAGTTTCTCAGAAGACATAATATCAGTCGCCTTCTGTTTTTTATAGAAGTTTAGTTTTCAAACTTACTGCAACCTATGAAAGCACATCCTGTTACAAATCGTAGAATGGCCAGGGTTGGAAGGGACCTCAAGGATCATGAATCTCCAACCCCCCCCTGCTACATGCAGGACCACCAACCTCCATACCTAATGCTAGACCAGGCTGCCCAGGGCCCCATCCAACCTGGCCTTGAACAGTTCCAGGGATGGGGCATCCACAACCTCCACAACCTCTCTGGGCAGCCTGTTCCAGCACCTCACCACTCTCTCTGTAAAGAGCTTCCCCCTCATACCTAACCTAAATCTTCCCTCCTTCAACTTAAAACCATTTTCCCTTTGTCCTGCTATTATCTACCCTTTCAAAGAGTTGTCAACAGGTGCAAACTGAATTTCCAGGCTTCAGAGGCTTTACTTTGATCATTTACTTTGATATTTACTTTGATTGTCTCAGGAAATAAAACAGAGGTTCCAGCTCCACATTTTGAAGGGAAAAAATCCTTCACCAGGAGCATTCTACACATTAAAAAGTTAGATGAGTATGAAACCATAGCAGATTCCACAGAGCTACCATTAAATCTCATTTTTCAACATCACCCAAATCACCTGGGACAAGCTTAAAAGGCCTGGGCTTTTGCAAACACTGATACAGCAAGTGCTATCATACTTTTATTCAAACCTTTTAATTAAAGTTATGTCAGAATGTATAAACAGTAATTCACCATCAGAACATTTTTCTTTCTGATATATATGTAGATGCCTACGCACTTTGCTTAGTATCCGCAAGCCAAAGTTATTAAATTTTTAAAAAGTTGAACACCTTTCATTTGTTTGAAAATTATTCCACTTCTTCATCTGGGAACTGACTACGGACATAGGAAATAATCAGCTTCAGACCAATGATGTTAGTAGTCCAAAAATCTTCTTCCAAGACACCTGGGAGTAAGGCATATTCCACAGAATTAGTTTCCAAAGTGCTCCGTTTTTACACTCTTTCCTTTGCCTTCATCTATTCTTTGGACAAGTTCCACACATTTATATGGTCTTTCATAATTCACCTGTTGTCAACACAATTATTAGACCTCCCTTTTAAGGTTTTAACAAATGCAGGGATCCTTCATATATCCAAGATAAGCCTCATATATCCAAGATAAGCCATGTCTCTACATCAAAACATTGGCTACATTATTTGCAGTGACCCCAACACATTTACATAGAACTAAATACATAAGCCAAGAGTTTTCCTCTAAATATTTCAGGATGATCCTTCCCTACCTAGAAAGTGTTCTGTCTTCATTCTCAACAGCTTTTGCATCAACTGACCTTCCCAAAGCCAGAAGCATGGTGCTAATAGGAAGGTCCTGGAGTATACTTGCCCTTGCATTACCCTCACTGCCACTGTATCAGATGTCTGTGAAGCAGTAATGCCCAAAGCAGGCTCAAAAACTCAAGATAAACATAGCCATTATGAAGAGTTCAACTAGATACTGTAGGAAACTAAGTTTTTTTTTCCCTTTAAAATACACTATTTACCCTCAGCATCCAGTTTACCATTTTAGTCTTAGCCTCTTTACATCTCTTCTCTTCGATACCACTGCGCACTATTCAGTTCCACAAAGAGCTTTGCAGGACACCAGCAGCTCCCTGCACTGCAACCTTTGTTCTCAATTACGCTGTCTTAAGAAGAGCACATTTTATCTTTCTCTTCACCATTCACAAAAACTTCCAGCTGGTTCTGCAGCCTCTTCCAAGCATCCACACACTTCTTGCTGTTCTCCCATTCAAGTCCCTTTACCCAAACTGCATTTTCCTTAAATATTTTCAGGCTACCGAGTCATTTCTGCAGACTGACAAATCCAGACTTGTGTGTTCAAGTCTCTGAACACACAATCATCCGTTTTTAATCTAAGGCCTCAGTTACAATCAAGATGAACTTATAACATCTCCAAAGATTTTGTCATAAAAACTGCACCCCTTCAGAAATTTCACCTCTCAGCCATACGGTATTCCTCAAATGATTTCACTGCTTCTTCACCAGGACAAAAGAACGTATTACTTAAGAGACTGTAAGCCAAGATGGAATACATTTTCTCCTTGAATCTAACTGCATGCTTACATAGACCAAGCTCTATTTTACTCTCTTCCAAGATATTACCAGCATATTCCAATTCCCTGGAGCTTTCTGGGTTTCCCTTTCCTTCTGTTATCTTTCAGTTATTGTCCTTCAGTAGTAGTTCCTCCGCTCACTTCTATTTCAGTGAATATACGTTTAAGTTTTATTTATGATACCAAAATCTTCAAATTTGTATTTCAACTGATTGTGACTGGCTTACAAATTTAGACCAGTTTAAGTTACTGCTTATAATGAACCCCGAAATTATGAAGCATGACCTGAAGAATAACCTGGAATTTTTCTAACTCTTATCAGTCCTTCTAGCTTAAGTATTTATATTTCATTTGTCTATTTTAGTGATCTATGGAGCTCTCAAAAAAAAAAAAAAAGGAAAATTGGGTTTCATCAAATGTTATTAAAGAACAGCCAGAGCTTCTACCTTCACAAAATTGACTTTTTCCATGTAAAAAAGTAAAAAGTATAGCCACTAATACTATTTGTATCAACAGGGTCTCTCATGAGGGCCATCACCACATAGGATGTCATTTCAGGATTGTCAGGAGGTTTAACAAGTATTTACAGGTAGCAAGGGAACACAATACCCTCTGGTATGCTGCATCTGTAGGTAAACAGTGTTGTGAAGGCCTGAACAAATAGGAAACCTAGCACAGCAGCGCCCCAATTACAGCAGTGGGGATCTTCAACGTGCAGCAAAGCAGATGGACTTCAGATGAACCAGCAATGTGATTATCTTCCAAAGAACTAAAGAAGGTTTTCTAAAGACATTTGTGGTATCAAGATACTGACATGCAAAATTTATGTGCTATCAGCTGTCGCATGGTCCTATGACAAGAACTGTATGCATGTTTGGTATACATCTGGAGTGGTAAGTTGATTCTTCTGTGCACAACAGGGGGAGAGAGCAGGAAAAGGGAAATCAAAACCAAGCAGTAGGAAGAGAATGATACCCAGCATACAAATAGCATTGAAGTGGAGAAATCATACCTCTTTTGGCCTTAAACCACTGAGCAGCTGTGCTATTCCCTGTGGTGTGCAAGCCCATGAGTTGTCAAACAGCTCAGCACATAAAGCCAGTACCAAGCTGCATGACACCAGGCAAGGTTGCTCCCAGCCTACCCTCCCTTTT